GTGCTTTCCACCAGCACACGCTCCTCCATTTAACATCACTTGTATTTCTGACTATTGAGGGAGGCAGAGATGTCTCACGCTGCCTTCAGGCTCTAAATGGCTTTCTGTATCTTTATTTTCCTGCAACACTTCAAGGATCAGTTTTCTTCATGCCTCAGAGAAGTGGTATCTAAATCGTTTTAAACTGAAACAGGGACAGAATAAGCTGTGCAAATCATTTTCTAGTAGAACCTTAATTACATCCTGCAGTGTCTCGTCCTCAGCAAACCACTAGCAATAAAATTCTGCATTTCATTTGAGAACCGACAGGGCTGGGTTTTTCTGTTTTGTTTTCCCCAATTGACATATACATAATCTAGCCTGGGACTTTGTTCCACAGCATTTTTGTCAAAGGCTCTAGAGAGTACGCCTGCAACTACTAAATCTTTCTCAGGTTCGTATTCAATTTGCAAGTTATACAACTGTAGCTAAAGAAAGAGACATTCTGTTTGCAGGAAGGTGTTTGCCAGATCCCCACTGGCAATGGCAAAAAGTGATTTATGATCAGTTTTAGTTAACATGGCCTCTCAAACAGATTTTTAAAAGTCTTTACAGCCATGGCCTAACGCCAAGGTGTTTTCTATAGGAACATACTCAATTTTAGTTTGTTTTGGTGCCCTGCGACTCAAACGCAAAAGCAAATGTGTACAAATATTGAATACATCCTCTTGAAGAGACAAAGGGCTTTTTACCTTCTGAATCTACCAGATCGCCCCATGCTCCACCATTACAAATCTGTGCCTTTTCCAGTTTGTTTTTTGTGCAGGGGTGTTGATGACTTTTAATCCCTCAGTTCATCCTTCTGTGCAAGAGTCCTACATTTTCTGAACTTCTCCAAGAAAGGTGGATTTTGCCGCTTCCCTTTTTTAGGGGTACAAATAAAAAGGCTTAAATATATTCCTGGCCCCATGTTTATATGTGCACTTACACGTACAGTTCACACTAAACAGGCGTCCCTCTTACCTTTTGGGGCTGCTACACTCTGTTGCCATTATGAAAAATTCTTTAGAATACTGTCAGCACTGTCACGAACACAGGCATCCCCTGGCACACACAAATTCCTCAAGGGATGAAACCACTGCGGTTCTTGCATCTTCTCTCCAGCACCAGATGTAGTTGGTTTCTGTTGCTCCCACAGTGTGCACAAGTATTTAAACATTGACCTTGGGCTTGAGCTACAGATGCCTTGCCCACTTTTTCTTGGATCCTCCACTGTTTCCATTGCCTTCACAAACCCCCTGGCTGGGCTCAGGGCTGGGCTACTGACTTCCTTCACTGGCAGACTCGGATGGGTTTTCATCAAGACTGAACTCTGGGATCTCCTGCGCCTGCGCTTGTTTTGCCCAGTCCAACTCAGCAGTTCTGCAGGCCCTGCAGAGTCTTAGTCTGAGCCTTAGTTCATGATCTCAGCCCTTACTGGATGTCATATTCTGGTACTACACTTCTCATGCAGTGCTCCAGTTGCTGTAACAATTTCATAATTAGCCTCCTTTGCATAAAATAATTGAATATTCAATACCAAACATCCCCAAGCCACATACTGCACATATGTGGCCAGCTTCCCTGAATCCTGACAGCCACAGCCCAACACCTCCACAGGGCTGAGCGTTACAGGACACAGCTCAGAGCCAAAGGGAAGAGAAGCTCCACGAGAAGCTCACCTACAGGAAACAATCTTGACTCTCTAGAGGCTGTGTGGCTTCTTACGGGAAAGACTGGGCTCAGCCTCAGAAGCCCTGGTAACGTCAATCACAGGTTTTGAACCTCAGCAGACTGTATAGCTTCCTTCCTCCCTCCGCTGAGCTTTGAGACTGCGTAAGCCTTTTGCAGCAGCCTAGTCCCACTGACAATCAAGCATGAAAGCTAAAAGAAGAGCCACACACCAGCTACCTCACAGCTATTGGAAGCTTCATTTATAACGCCTGGGTATTATTTCCCCTTTTACTAGCATCACCTTTTCCAGCCGCACATAAACCTTCTCTAGTTGTCCATACCTCTGAAGAACTTCAGTGCAGGTAGGATGGCCATTCATATGAAAAATTCACCGCTATTTGAGGAATTCAGAAAACCTGGAACTTCCATTTAGCACAAAAGAATGAATTAAAGGGGAAAACCCCCCACCAGCACCCCTGCACAAGTAGATAGTAGCAATTAGCAAAGCCAGACCACAGCTCTGAGAGAAACTCAAGATGTAGGAAGCACATTTTCTTTAGCTTAGTCTTATAACCAGCTTAGAGAACCACACTCTTTCCCAAGCACCCTTCGTCTAACCTATGTTGAATATGTAAAGCAAGGACACCAGACATAGAGCCAAGTGATTTTCCACTCCAGGCACATGGAACATGATGAAAGTAAATTTGTGGGTGTTTGTGCTTGATTTGGCAGAGAAAAAAAATGAGGGAGGGACTGTGTTGGAGGAAGGGTATCAAAGATCAGAGCCAGATGCTCCTGCACAGAGCTCTGGATTTGCAGGAAATTAAGAAGGTAGAGAAGGTGAGGCAAAGGCTGTGTTTGAAGTGAGAGTCAAGGGGTTCTGAAACTTACAACCATCCAAGGTGCTTGGGGGGAACTACAGCACATGCCAAAACCACACCACAGTGGCCCCGGGTGCTTTCATTACACAAAGCCTGGGAGAGCAGAGGCTGTAAATGTAGCTTCAAAAGGAGCTTCATCTTGAAGTCTTAGCTCTCAGGGCCTATTAAACATTTATGCTGACTACCACTCCTACTCTTTGCTTCAGAGAAAGCACCCGAAATAACCTTTGCTACAGAGCAAACTACTACACCTCTACCAGCTGTGTAGGAGACTGGTGGAGAGCTGTGAGAAACAACCAGAAACAGTGTTGGAACAGCACACTGATATCTCTATTCAATCAGCTGGGAAAGAAGGAGAAAAATCTGGTCTGGAACCTGAGAGGGAAGACAGAAAACTGTACGAGAAATAATGGGTGGATTAGCCACGTAGAGATGGCTGAGTAAGGCCAGTGAAGGCAAATTTATGAGTATCAACATTTTTTGCTTTTACCTTACTTAAGGTTCAACACTTTTGGGGGAGTCATCAGACCAGCCTCTAGTGTTAGATCTGTGACTACTGCAGCCATGGGAGACACTGTAGAGGAAAAGGAAAAAAGCAGGCCCTCTGCAGAAATGGAAAGGAAGACAGAGGGGCTCTAGGAGAAGATGGAAAGAAGGGATTAATTCCCCTGATTTGCTTAAAATTTCTTTGGCTGTGCAACAGGAGTTTAGGATGAGATAGCCAGAAATACTCAAGATTTTCACTCTAGGAAACTGTTACTAGTAATAGCAGATAATACACACAACTTTCACTTATACCTTCACAGTTCACTCAGTTACCTCATTGGAGCAACAGTTGGAGAACAACCCCAGCTGCATACTCAGGAGAGGGTTGTGCTGACACACTAGCAGCTTCCAAGCAGGTGTTCAGAAAGTCCCTCAAAGTCATTTATTTCAACAGATGCACTCATAATCCTGCAGTCTTTGTCTGCATGTAGGAGCCCCTGCCCTCCAGTCACACAACCTGTGGTTGATACCAGCGCTCACCTGAGCCCTTGCACAGACTGAGCAGACACTTGGTGCCCAGAGTTTATCAGCTCTTGCAGATTCAGCAGGACTACCTGTCTCCAGATATTATTGGTCCTTGGGAAACCTTCAGGCTTCTTCTCAGCACATGCTTTTCCTCTCATCTGTTTCTTTCTCCACCCAAACCTACAGGTACCTACAGGACCAATTCATTTTCACACAGATAAGGCCTTTATGACAAGTTGGTGGCTCGTGCGGCTAATCACTCAGTGTTCACTCTATAGGTAGAAACTTAACGTAAATGTGGCTCCTTCCTATTGACAAGCAGCTACACCATCTCCTCCTGGAATCCAAAAGCACCAAGCTGGACCTGAGCTAGGAAAGACGGAGGTTTAGCATTGACATTTGAATACACAAACCCCATGAAGAGGGTACAAGGCTTCCCACACTCAACCTAGGGAAGAAACATTGATTGACTGGCCTGGATTCGTTAGGATAGTGTCTGCTTAGCCCCAGCCCCTCTGACCTACATTAATTTGGCTGCTTATCAGCATGGCTATTACATCCAGCACCAGGTTAATGAGCCTGTCCTGAAGGCTGGCCAAATATGACTGAACTGACCTAAACACTAAGTGGAGGGTAGTTTTGAAGACTGTGTCCTTAGAAACCATTTTGCAAAGAGAAGGTCCTATGTGTTACATCGATGTCACTCAACCACCAGTTCTCAATCTTGCTGCTTCTTTTCTTTCTTGCAGTCCATATCCTGCTGCAGAGAAGTTTATACAAATCAGTCTGAACCTTTATACCATGACAATGAGATTAATGACTTAATCCTAAATGATCAAGTTGAATCAGGCCTTGGCAGCAGCAAGAGATTGGGCCAGAAGTTGCCCTTTACAGGTTAGACTAACTGCTTGATGAATTCAGGTGTCCAGGGAAATTCCACCCCCAAAACCCCAAAGGGAGCGACGGCCACCAGGTACACAATATCTGCATGAGTCTCGCAGGATTCCTGTGGCGTACATGAGCTGAGCTAAGGGGTTATTTGGCCGGACTGTCACACAAGCACACTCAGATCTTCTCTGGGCAGTGGGTATTTTTTCAGCATCTACTGTAGTCCCCCCTCACCCCCGGTTCCAGTGCCTTTATTTCCGTAAGCTACAAAAGCCGCCTGCGGTCACGACGTGGCTGCCGCGGGGCTCTCCCCTCACACAACCGTTGAGGGTGGGCGGGAAAGCCCGCCGCTGGGCCGCTGCGGGAACTACAACTCCCACCAAGCGCGGCGGCACAACGCCCGCGGATAGCGCCGCCATCTTTGTGCGGGGTTGGAGGCGGCGGCCGCCATCTTTGGTCAGGGTCTCACCGCCCGCCCGTCCACCCACCCACCCGCGACCGACGGCGGGTGGCGCATGCGCAGGGCGGTGCTGGCGGCGGCGGCGGCATGGGCCGGGCGGCGCTGGCTGTGTCCCTGTCCCTGTGGGCGCTGGCGGCGGCCGTTGTGTGTCGGCTGGAGCCCGTCACGGCGGGCGGTCCCGCAGGTGAGCGGCGTTCGGGGCTCCTCGCGTCGCCCGGGCGTGGGGGGTGTTGCGGGGGATAGGGAGCGGGACGCGGCTTCGTGGCCGGGCGGGGAGGGCTGGTGGCCGCGGCGGGAGCCCGCGCGTCCTGTGAGGCCGCCGAGGAAGTCTCTCCTCCTCCTTCTCCTCCTCCTCCTCCTCCTCCCGGCCGGGCAGCTCCCCCCGGCTCCCTTTCGGCTCGGGGGTCGTCACGGGGCGCCCGGCCCACTGGCCTTTCCCCGGCCCCCACGGCTGGGTGGCCTCTCTCCGCGCCCGCTCCAGGCGTGCTCTCCGTGGGCTGCGTGGACCGGGGCAGAGCTGGGGTGTGTTGTGGGGCCCTGGTGCGTTGTTCCTGCCAGCTGGACCAGAGACGCGGTTCAGCTCTTGCTGGTTGCTCTGGTAGTTGAATGGATTCATTCCTTAGACTTTACCTTCCTGTGTGTTTTAGATGCCAAATGGATAACAATAACTGACCAGATCAAGAAGGCTGTGGAAGTCTATAAGCCATGTGTAAAGGAGAATTGCAGCTGCCACCAGAGGTGAGATACTGGTTTCCTTTAGACTGCACAGCCCTCTGGCCATGAGAGGGAATACTTTTGCCATCACTAATGGTTGGAAATTATCTAGAGAATATTTGGGCGCTAAGGTATCATGTTTGCAGCCACTGCAGGTCACGGTACTTGCAAGGAAGAGGTTATTAATGGCACTGTGTGAAACAAGGTGATCTCCATAGTTCCAACAGAAGGTGTGTCCACCTGCAAACTGACCACTCTTCTCGTCCTCTGCAATTGAACACAAGCTGTGTCAGCATTTCATGTATGATCACACAATAAACCATATACTTAGCTGGTGACATTTCTGTTTTAACAGAACATTTCTGCCTTCTCTTAGTGCAGCGCTGGTAACAAGTCTTTCTCATGGGCTTTTAAAAGTGGAAGAAATCAAGTATGTATAAAATATTCTAAATAGCTAGATTAAGAAAGATTGTTTCAGAACACAGATTCATTTGGTGTGATGGTGTGCTGTACTTTTTAGCACTCTTTCGAGGGAGTTTAGTTCACTGCTTGTGAGAATTGGAGTGATGGTGGACGTTTAACTATCTGACTTTCACATGACCAAACCATGATCCAAGAGGAGCTCATTTAGGGAGACACAAGTCCTGTTTATATTTTTTTGTTATAACTATGGAGCATTGTGCATAATGCCAGCATTCTAACTTGAAACGCTGGCCTAATCATCCTACAGTGAATTTAATGCAGAGAGTTAGAGTCTTAGATGTGATGCAAGACGGCTGTAGGCAGTACAGGTGCAGGCTGATCTGTCTTGTAGACATAACCAAAACAAACTTCCTTTCTGTTTGCACTGATGGAACATGTCTGCAGTGTGGCAAACATTACAGGGACGTAGGTCATCATTGCTGTATGGGCAGGGATTGTAGGATAGGTTTTTAATACCTTTAAGCAGCATCTTTATTTAAAAGAGAAGAAGGAGTTCAGGGAAGAGTCAACATATTCTTCTGCCTTTATGATTAGGATTCCAAACGCAGAAACACTGATGCCCAACTTTAAGCCTCCTATTTAAAAGTACCAGATGTGCTCACTCATTTTGGGGGGTGAGATTGAGTGCTACCATGGCTTTTAATATCAGATGAATCATACTGTGCAAGTGTTTGTACACTCTGTTTGGAGTTTTTGATCTTCACTGCTCTTGAAATATTGATGAGGAAAAGTCTCTTCTAGTTTAGCCTTCCAGTCTTTTTCCTAAGTTCCAATTCAGATACAGCCTTAAGACATCTAATCTTTAAACATACGTTCCACTATCTCCTGCCCACCTTTGGGTAAAACATCTTCCCAAGTGGTTACAACCTCCAAATCTGCTTCAGAACATGATAGTTGATAGTAACATGAAGTTACGGTTGCTGTGGGTCCCAAAACATAGTTTTCACTAAAGCAGCAATTCATTTAAGGGTTGTTAAGGGGCACTGCTATAGTGACAGGCATTACAAAAGAATCCAGGAAGATAATACAGCATGTATGCTGTGCGACACTTAAGAAACTTGGTTCATTTTGATAGCTCATTTGAAGGTATGTAATTATGCAGCAGAACTCTGAAAGCCAGTACTTTTCCCCATATAACAGATTCTACTTGCGTCTAGTCTCCTGTGACTCGGTGGTCAAGGACTGAAGGTCCCAACTTGCTTGTCGTTACTTTTCAATTGTCACTTGTTACAATGACATGGATGTGCCGTAAAACTGCAACTTTCTTCCTGTTCTCAAGTTTGTTGCATTTGCATCCCTGCCTGGCTGCTTATCCTGTGGTCATCCCATCTGTGCAATGGCAATTCTTTATGTAGTTTTCTGGTTTTCTACCTGATTACAAAATAGCAGAATCCTGGAGGTTGGAGGGGACCTCCTGAGATCATCAAGTCCAACCCCTCTGCTCAAGCAGGGTTGCCAGGACTGTGTCCAGTCAGGTTTTTAATATCTCAAAGAACAGAAACTCCACAGCCTCTCTGGGCAACCTGTACCAGTGTTTGACCACCCTGACAGTGTTGTATTAAACTAAGGCATCGATGCGGTGTCTACCAAGAAGTGGGGAGGATATCTCCATGGCTGTTACAATCTGACGGTGTTTGGTAAATGCTCCAACCAGTTAGATCTGAGGACCTTTAGAATAAATTTATATACACTGCATCCTTCTTACGTATTTTCCTGTATTCTTTAGGTTTATGTTTTCATAATGCATTCCCGGACCTCACTGGTGATGTTCGGATGTCATAGAACACATGCTACGTAAGGCTGTCCTCCTGCCCTGGCTTTTACCGCACTCAGAATTTGCAACTAGAATCTTACCTTTAATGTCCAAATAGCATGACATTGTGTAAGAAATTTGGTCTTGGTGTGGCCCATAATTCATGGAAGACCAGAGTACAAGTTTTGCAACCCAGAGGCTAAGGGAGCTGAAGGCTTTTGCCCATCACTTGCCAGGGTATGTAAGGTCCTTTCTGGGAGAGGAACTAGGGTTGTCCATGTTGATTTAGCCTCAAAGTCCTGTGCTGGGCTTGTTGTTCAGGCAAACAGCACATAGGTAGTCAAAGAGTGAAGCCTGGACCTTTGAGTCTCTGAGAAACAGTTCTTCCAAGTGACTTAAATTAAATTCTCTATTATGCCACATGTAGCAGAACTCCTGGAAGCTACATGGGGCTTGTTTTAGCTAGAATTCTGTTTTGTATACTGTAGTAATTTAATGCACAGTATATCCTCCCTAGCGTATGTAATAATGGCTGATTGTTTCGTTTCAGTGTCTGGAAGCAGGACCTGGCTCCTTTTCGAGGTGGCATTTCTAAGGAGATAATATCAGATGTGGTGAGCCGGAAGCTCGGCACACACTACCAAATCATTCAGAACAAATTGTACCGTGAGCAGGACTGCTTGTTCCCTGCAAGGTAAGAGGCTGTGCAGATCTAGTCTCCCTAGCTGGGGCACAGGAGTACTTCCAATTCTGCCAAGCTGAAAAAGTTCATTGAGCACAATGATATTTCAGAGATACGAATTCCTTATCAGATCAGGACCCTAGAAAATTAAGCATGAGGCTTAAATGTAGCAAGAGGTTAGTGTCATTGTTGCACTTCAGTGTACAAAGGGTTGGTTGGTTGTGGGATCCCAGAGAAAACTGCAGATTTAACAGGATGGGTTGCTTCATTGGTGTCTGTACTGTGTTGGGGCTTAGAGGCTGCTGTAGGCAGCTCCCAGCCTGCATTATGGTATGGCTCAGGCTTACCATCTCTTCTGCTCCTGCACAGAAAGACCTGCAAGAGACTGCAGGATTCTGCCTTCTCCTTATAGCTCTTCGCCATATGTCATTTCTCCACAGATGCAGTGGAGTTGAGCATTTCCTTCTAGAGATCATCAACCGCCTCCCTGACATGGAAATGGTGATCAATGTGCGAGACTACCCCCAGGTCCCCAAGTGGTTGAAACCCATTATCCCAGTCTTCTCCTTCAGTAAGGTGCGCACACCTTTAAAAGCTGACCGTTTCTGACACACACGTGCCCTCTTTCTCTTGGGAATGTATTTTTGAGGACAGTTTCCCACAGATTTTCTGTACATCAAAATTGCTTGCTCTTTTTTGCTCTTTGTTTCCTTTCGCTTCTAGTTTTCTGGCAGACAGACTTGCAGATTTATTCAATAGAACAGTTTTTCCCCTCATTAGCTCCTCTTCCAGGTCAAAGAATGTACCTCTGCCACAGTGGAATGATGCACAGCTGAATGGGATATGTGCCAGCATCACTGTCATTTGCTACAATGCCTCTTTTAAAATTGTAGCTGTAGTTTATCAGCATTGTTAAGGATTTTTGATCATCAGTCAGCTGTCATACAGTTAATCTCATTTAAAGTGAATATTTTAGTCCTCTTTTTTGGTACTGCAGATAAGTGTTTCTTATTTTCTTTTCTGTAGTATTGCTATCTCCCATGAACCCTTTTCCATCTGCAAACAGAGGTGCATGCATGCGTAAAGACATTCTTTCTCTGCTTCTCTGTTCCTAGACTTGAGAGCCCTCCTGTATGTTTTCCTGCCTCTTCTGTTGTTAAACCTGACTGTAGCATAGTGTCCCATCTTTTCCAACAAAATATTATTAAACCTCAAGCTTCAGCTAATCTTGCTTTGCCTTAGTGTGTGCCCAACGTGCCCAAATCCTGCATACTTGCTACCTAACCCTGATTATGAATGATTCTGTCCGTGGCTGAAGCCTAGCATACAGTAAAATGCAAAAAGAAGCGATAAACCATTTGCTAGTGCGAGTTCAGGCCCTATTCTGTTTCTGTTAACTTGTAGCACCTTACTCTGAACCCAGGTTGTCAGCTTGTGCAGTCTGAACTATAATATAATCCATAACTATTGCCTAGTCCCCAGCCATCCTAAAACTCTGGAATTTCAGTACAGCATTGCAAGCACTGTCATTGAATAACCATGTTTGCTGCCAGATGTGGTAGTAAAGCTAGCTGACTTGCTCCTTGACCATTGCACAGCCTTACCTCTAGTCAGTAGAACCCAAATCAATGCAGAGCAGGTTGCAGGAGTTTTAATTTTTGCAGCTGTATTCATCATCCTGCTCCTGGGTGCCTTGCAAGACCCCGCAAGAACCCGAGTTCTCTGGTCACTGTTGTCCAATATCTGAACTGTAACCTCAGCCCTATCCTTAACTGAAGCCCAGTGACACAGGCACAGCTCATGGTTAAGCAGCTAGCGTTAGGAAGGCACTGGGATGCTGATCCAGGGTGCTTTCTAAGGCTGAAAGCATAGGGGATGGAAGGATTGTCCTATTCTGCATCTCAGAAGGCCAACCCTGGGGTGGTGGTGGAGCTGTCATGGTTTGTTATCAATGCCTCTTTACAGCAAGACTGAGAGGGAGCAGATCGTAGAAGCACACAGTCATTGTGAGTTGGAAGGGACCTCAGGAGATCTCCCAGTCCAGCACCTGTTTCAAAGCAGGACAAATTACATCAGGGTGCTCCAGACTGTGTCCTGCCCAGATCTGAGCATCCCTGGGGATGGGGTGTCCACAGACAGTGTTTGACCTACGTCAGAATGAAAACATGCTTCCTAATATTTTCCTTTCTTGTAATGAAAGTCTGTTGCCTCATTCTGTCTCTGCACTTCTGAAAATAGTCCACCTCCATCTTCCCTGAACATTCCCATTAGGTAGTAGGAGACAGCATTTAGATTCTCCCCGGTCTCCTCTTCTGTGCATGAACAAACCCATTAACCCATTCCTCAGCCCCTGTTTGTCATGTGCACCAACCTCCTAACTACCTTGGTGGCCTTGGACTCTCTCCAGTATCTCCAGGTGATGGATAGGTGGATAACCGTATAGAGGTTTGTTACTAGTGCAAGGAAGAGGCCTGTAGTCTGGTTTCATGAAAGGGTTTAGTCTTACTTAAGTGCTGGTCTTCTCTCTGATTATATGGGGATTTAAGCATCCAAATAGGAGTGTGGAACTGATGTTCTTCCATGACCTGAATATTTGTTATGGTGAATAGTTAAGTGATCTCTAGGAAGGCTGGAATGAACTGAAATGTTGGAAACCTAGATGTCAGAATGTCTGTATGTGCCTCTATGTCTGAGGAGGTAAAATAATGCTTCTTAATTTATCATCAGTAGAAAACATTTGTAGCTACACATTGTAGCACAAGTCTTTAGAAAGGTGAGTGGAGCTTAGGTTTTCCACTATTTACTAATCAGCTACATCACAGACCTCTTTTGTTATTTTCTAAGATGAAAGTCCCGTGTTGTCATGCAGCAAGACATAATGTTTTTAAAATCATTGAAACATTTCAATATTGAACCCCATATGAACCCCAGCAACACCGTACTGACCGCAAAGCTCTTGTGGCTCTTTATGGATCAGTAACGGGGAAAGCTGACACAACTCCCAGAAGGGGCGTTCATTACTGGTGGTCAGTAAACTGAAGTAGATATTACTCTTATTCTTACATTACTCTCCTTTTTCTTAAAGACATCTGAATACAATGATATCATGTATCCTGCCTGGACTTTCTGGGAAGGAGGACCAGCTGTTTGGCCAATTTACCCAACAGGTTTAGGGCGCTGGGACCTCATGAGAGAGGACCTCAGAAGGTATGTTTTGGAAATGGTTGTGTGTAGAGGGGAGGTTTTGTGGAAGTCAAAATTCACAGTAAAGGCAATGTAGCACTGGACAGCATTCAGCCAATGTTGGAGTCTAAGGCCATAAGTCTGTTGGCCTGTGATCTGTCCTGCTGCCTCTCATTAAGTACATACAGTCTAACTGCTGTATAAGAATTCTCCATGGAAACCTTGGATGATGTAACTAGAAGTTATAATTAGCTTCTCTGTTTCCAACACTTCAGTAAGGAATGCAGAGGACAAAGTATACACATTCTTCATGCTGTCAGGGCCAGATCACTGTCAATTTTGGTGAGATAGGGTTTGTCAATAAAGTAGCAGTTATCTTTTGCCTGCAGAAATCTCCCCTGACACATGGAAATATTTTACTTTGTTTCCAACTACTTCTCTAGGAGCTGTGGTTTTTTCACTGCAGGGATGATCCAGGATGTTTGCTTAAGCTTCTGGAAGGGTAAAGGAAAGCCTTCTTTAGATCTGCTTTTACTTGAGTATTATTGTGCAATAGAGAGACCTGGAATCATTCCCAAGAATCAAGAGTTATTACTGGGCTGAGAGTAAGACAGAAGACGTTTCTGACTGAGAGTCTTTCTTTTGGCAGGATCTTTGACTATTAGCAGAATTAGGGGCTATTTTCCAGGGAGAGTGACAAACTAAGTGTGCAACAGTGAGTGAGCATAGAACCATAACAAGAAAACACCTTGATGTCGATCACTTGACATCAGAATGCAAGGTTGAATGTTTCCCTCTTCAAAATCTGAAAATCGATGGGACTAATCATCGCTGAAGCCTAGTGTGATATAATATAATGAAGGTCCAAAGCATTTACTTATCCTTGCTTTCTCAGTGAACCCCACTTGTGTCACTGGGTTACAGGCAAATGGAAAGCTTGACCTGTGCAGATCAGTCTGGGGATCAGGACCTACATGTCAAACCAGGTGCAACAGAAAAGTACAACAAAGAGTTCCCCAGGGGGAGGCAGGTGACTGCACTGACAGATATAAAACATGTGAACAGCTATTTTGAAGGACTTGCTTAGATTTAAAATGAAAGTTATTTGGCAAAACACTGAACCCCTTTGTTTTAAATGCAAAACACCAGGCAGGGTTTTTTTGTTTGTTGTTGGTTGGTTGGGTGTTTTTTTAATGGGAAATACAGTGGTTAGAAACTCTCTAGTCGTTTTGCACTATCCATATTCAGTGAAGTACAGAAAAATAAAGCAACAGTACAAAAAGTGGATTAAGATTTTAGGTAAACTTTAATACCCTTAAAGGTTTAGTGAAGGGGTTGTGTGTAATTCACTATTTTGACTGAAAGGTATTCTGAAATGTAGCGTGTATCTTGTTGCCTTAAACACAATATTCATGGGAAAAACTTGTTTCATTGGACCTGGCTGAGAGTTTTTTCTGCTGTAATGAAGAAAGTGATTTCCATCAAAAATGAAGAATAATATAAGGAAATTATCCTGTGAAAACTGATGAGAGTACTGTTTCATGGTTATATTAAATCATTTATTGCCATGTATAAACAATATTTTCAGATCTGCAGAAAAATGGCCATGGATGAAAAAAATCTCCAAAGGATATTTCCGAGGATCCAGGTGAGCATATTTTCCTGTAACAGGAGATTCTACCAACATATGCTGTGACAGTGGTCTGTATGCAGACATTTCTGTATCTGCAAGACCTAAACAAGTGCAACCAAGAATGTATTTTTTAAAAGTAAGGGAAGTGAGACATTTTGTACAGCAGCATTTCACCTTTAGTGATTCTCCTTAAGAGCTGCCATTTACAACTAGTTTATTATAATAAGTCTAATACTGGAAACAGAAGTTGTGATGGATTTGCTACATTATCTATTGAGTAAAACTGTCACACTAGGAACCAGCTTGTTTTGTTCTGTGAAGGGAACTCCAGGTGCATGATACAGGTTTAAAGATTTGATACTGATGTGCACGCTTCTTGCCAATGTGAATCCTTTATTCACTATGCAAGTGCTTGACACAGGACTGAAAGAATTCTTGCTTTTCGTTACCTGAGCGGTGAGGCATAAGAAACTAGATTATTTTTGCTCTCTCTCCAATGACAGTTTGAAAACGTTAAACCCAATACTTTGTTCCTCCCCCATCCCCAGTATTTGATGTCTTACTAGGTTGACTCAGGAGATGATGAGGAGTGAGCCTCGAGGATGTCATAACCTTCTTTGAGTAGTGATTTAAATTAGTGTTGGGGGTATCAGCACTGAAGATGCTTATCATCTCTTAGCTCTCTCTGACTTAGAAAGGAGTTAAAGTATTTGGCACCCATCAGGATAAAGCCTGAAGGAAGCAACATCTCTGCTGTTTTGTCCTGGGAATTGCTTAAATAGTACTATTAAATATTTAGTAAGTGAAATAAAGAAACATGGCCTCAAATAATTTTGGTACCCATAACTCATTCTCTTCTGCTAATATCTCTTGGACAGAAATGCACTATATGGTATGTACTTAATGGTTTTGGGGCACGCAGGGAGGTCAGCCTTATAAGGAGTCAGGGTCTTGAGCCCTGCTGTTTGTTAGCTGTGTTGAGTCATGTGGATTGGCAATTACTGACAGCATGTCTTTTGCAGAACAAGCCCTGAGAGAGATCCCCTCATTCTGCTGTCCCGAGAAAACCCAGAACTTGTTGATGCTGAGTACACTAAAAACCAGGCTTGGAAATCTGAAAAGGTGTGTGGGTGTTGTCTGTCTCCTGAGTGTGAAGGCCAGCAAAGGTACCATTGCAAGATGTCTTTGACGACTGAGAAGCATCTTGTTGGAGAGTTGTGGGTGGTCCTCTAGAGTAGGAGAGGCTTGTAGTTCCCTTGATGGCCGCACTTCTCTGATGGATGAAAGGAAGGAGTCTCTAGAGCCTGGCAGGCCAAACATTTTTCTTCCGTCTACACTTTTTGTTCAAGGAAACTAGCACACATAAGAAAATGAACCTGTGCCAATCCCCTCCTCTTCCATTACAACAAAATTAGCCAACTCTTCCCCTTCTAGCCCTGAGCTGCCAGTGTGGTGGTGTAAGTCTTTTTAAACCTTTTTCTGTTATCTCCCTTTCTTGGTCTTGTTTTTGGTAACTTTCTGATAACGGTTGCTGATAACTTTTTAGTTCCATACACAGTCTACAGTCCGTCTCTCTCCAGACAGTCTTGGCTAATCCAGTTACACTTGGCTTCACATAGTCCATTGTCCCAAACTCTTTTCCACGCTGTAGCTGCCAACCATCATTATCATTTAATGTTTGTGCTGACGTTTGCTTACAGGGAGTGTGTAATTTACTGATTTTTTTTTTTTTTTTCTTGTTTGAAGGGCTGGGAATGCTTCATAATACTTCTAAAAGCCCACCAGAGAAGGTTTTCTCAGAAGTGGGAATGGAGGGTTTTGAGTCTTCAGCTTTGTTTCTAACTGAGAAGGAAAACAAATATGAAATCACAGTGTAAAGCTTACTGATTTTTTTTTTAATTCCCTTTATTTTAAGGACACCTTAGGGAAGCCTCCTGCAAAGGAAATTCCACTGGTTGATCACTGCAAATACAAGTAAGAGTTTTGATTAGTAAAGCTGTTCAAGAGCTATGGGTTATTTCTTTCCGTGCATGGTGTAAGATCTCATTTTATTTTAAGGTCTAATTCCGACAACCAGCTCCATGCAGATAAAAAAGCTTGTGAGTGGACATAAGGCAGTTGAAAATACAGTTGCTTGGCATGGCCTCTTTTAGTGTCAGCTTTCCCTTGTTGGGTCAGGAGAAATAAAGTGCTTTGGGAAAAGTAAAGGTCACTAATAAACATATAGATCAAATATTTTTTTTTTTTAATCAAAAAGGCTTTCTATCAGTTTTTCTTTATATTCCTGTACTAAGCTGTATGTTCAAAATGAATTTTTCGTTGCTATGAAGATAGCATTGTCTTCAAAGACATAAGGAACTAAGGCATCATGTCTTCATATGCATACTTGGACAAGTGGTGCCACTGGATGTATATAATAAACGAGATAACCTGAAATATGATTGAGCAGATACAGTATTGATTCATACTTCGTATATTCTTTGAGAGAATGTGGTTTTGATTTACAAAGGTTTTTTATTTTTTAACTACTTTAGGGAGGGGTTTTTGGTATAATATTCTTGTGGGCTTCTGTGTAAAAGTATAAACTCTTGCTGTGTATGCACTTGTATATCTGATGTTTTGCCCCCTTTTTTTTTTTTTTTCTTGCTTTAAAATTACCTAGTTACAATTACGCCAGTTAGAATCTGCTGATATAAGAACTCAGTCGTTTGGCTGGATCTGTGTTTTTGTGTAAATGTGATTGACTTGTTTCATTTTATATTTCACTAGACTGTTGCCCAGATTTGTCCCTTCTGTTACATGTAGACTTCCTGACTGATGCCTCCTAAGCCCCTCGTACAGTACAGGCTGAGACATTCTTAAGTGCTTTTGTCGTAGCCCAGGGTCTGGTAGGGTCAGCATGGACTTCTCGCTGCTTCCTTCAGTGTAGGTGCTATAGCAGGCTGGCTGAGAGCAGCGTTCGGTGTCTTGGCTGAGGTCACGGATGGTGGGAGCTGTGTCTGGAATTGGACAGAGGCATTTCCTCACTTCCAGACCACTGTTCTTGTTACATCTCTAAGTGTATTTGTTGAGTTCCTAACAGAACGAGCTCCTCATCCCTTCCTTGAGCTCCTAGGTAATACAAAGAATGCAGAATAATTTCTGATTTACTCCTTGTCACTTACTGCTGAACTAAGTTTAGCTATAATTCCCATCTCGCCCACAATATATATAATATATAATCCCCATCTCGCCCAAAATAGTTTCATTAAAGGAAGAACTCCCTTCCCCCAGCCCAAAATGTTTGACTTCAAAGATTAGTTATATGTACTGAGGGGCTTTACCCACAGGAAAAACAGCTTTCCATATAATTGGAGAAATGCGAGTTTAAAAAAAAAAAGGCAAGTAAGCAAACAAACATCCCTCTGAGATATAGTTTGCTAAAAGAAATCCACCCCCAGTCAAGCCCACTTTACTAACTTGGCAGAAAATACTGAAAACAAAATTGTGGATTCTTTGTTATCTGCAAAGTCCATCTGTTGTGTGCTAGCCTGTTTAACCTCCTAGGGTTGCATTCCCAAGTTAATATGAAACAATTAGATTCAGATTAAAGCAGAATCCCAGAGGAAAAAAAATAAAAAAACAAACAAAAAAAAAACCCAACCCAAAAACAACAACAAAAAAACCCAAACAAACAAAACAAAAAAACCAACAAAACCCAACTGAGATAGATGTGGCAAAGCAGAACAATGAACAGAAAAGCTCACTGCAAGACGAGAGAGAATTGGGAAAAAGCTCCTCATGGTAACAGAGTCTCTGGAGTCACACATTCCACGTCCACGCTGTGAGCTTCCATGCCTTGTTGGCAGCTGTCCGTGAGGCCTCCTTTGGTTTGTCGCAGGCAGGTGTCTTTATCAGGGGTGAAGCCTCACACCTTGATTTTCTCCTTCAGTTTTGACAGACAGCAGAAACTCACCTAGCACATCCTTAACTTCAGCTCACGTTTCCTGTGAGTAGCTTCAAATAAAGGGCTTCCCTTTGTTTTAGTGACCGGTGCGTAGCTCAGTGTGAAGGAGAACTCCCCACCACCACCCCTGCAGCTGCTACCTGTGACAGAAGGTTGACTGCTACTCGGAGCCCAGTTTTGTAGTGCATTTCCCCACAACATGCCAAGTGTAATCGGTTCCTCTCTTTCCTTTTCCTTTTAAAGGTATCTGTTTAATTTCCGGGGAGTGGCTGCCAGTTTCCGGCTGAAGCACCTTTTCTTATGTGGTTCACTCGTCTTTCATGTTGGAGAAGAATGGTTGGAGTTCTTCTACCCCCAGCTGAAGCCTTGGGTCCACTACATCCCAGTCCGACCAGACCTCTCTAACGTCAGGTGCGAGACCCCGGGCATGCTCAGCGGAGCGGTGCATGCCACAGGAGCACACGGCTGTGTTCGGGAAGGCGGTTTGGTTTGTACTGCACTAAGAAGTGCCTCCACTCCTAGGCACCAGACAAAAGCTCTTGGAGGTCATGTTCTTTTCTCTTTATTACTGCCCCCAAAGAATCCTTTGCTCGTATTACAGAGAGAGTACAGTTTCGCTGGAGTATGTAGGTATGTCACCCTCACTGAAATCAGCAGACACTAACGAGGCACTTAAGCTTGCAAGCGGGCCCTGCAGCACAGATAAGAGGGAAGAGGAACTTGTCACTAGGCCAAAAATGTGTTGGCTCCCAGATTTCAGCATGGTTGATACGGAACAACCAATAGGGGTTGTTAGTTATATGTACTGAGGTTGTTAGTTATATGTACTGAGTTATACTATATATAACTATATATAGTTATATATAACAACCAGAGCCGATATGGAACAACTGAGAAGGGCAAGTCTCTTCTGTGCTCTGAAATGAGCACCAGTCCCTCACTCAGTTGTAGATCCTCAATCTCATCCTCTGCAGTAATTAAGCTGAGGAGCCGTGTTCTCCATTGAGCTAGTTGTTTCATAGCATTATTTTGGTCTTCGTTTTAGGGAGCTGTTGCAGTTTGTAAAGGAAAATGATGCCATAGCACAAGAAATTTCAGAGAGGTAAGTTGTGTGTCCTTTCTGGCTATCAGGCAGTCTTCCTCTGAAGCATTGTCTTATGCAGCTTTTGAAGGGGTTACCTATCAAAGACAACCTAGTATTAATAGGGTGCAGTGTAACTGATCTTCTGCCATAACAGCAGGGGGGTTGGAGAACTCGTAATAAGCAGGGGGAACGGGAGAATACGATTATATGCTTAGGTCTTTGGTTCGTGTGTGACCCATGTCAGGAACCCCACTGAAAGCTATCAGAAGTTGGGAGCTTTCGTCTCAGTATGAGGTGAGGTGAGTTGCCTCCTGGGAACTATGTCTGCGTTGTGAGCGTTACGTATCCAGGCTGGCAGCGGCCGGCTTCTGAAGCAGCATGCATTAGTGCTGCTCAGGCTGTATCTGATACGTGAAGTCTGATATTTATTATCCCAGATAACAAATACCATCTTGAGGATAACAAAAGCACTGCAACTGTCAGAGCTATGAGCATGAATGAAAACTGTGAAATTAAAATAGACGGTACAGAGCGGTGCATGTTGTTTCTCATTTGAAACACAGAAGAATGAAAGTTGATATACATATAAAACAAAACCAAAGACTCTTGTAGGATCTGGAAATTGGTTCTGACTCTGCCTTGTGTGTCTCTAGGGGACGCCAATTCATCACCGAGCACTTGCAGATGGAGGATGTCTCTTGCTACTGGGAGCATCTGCTGTCTGAATATTCCCAAGCTTTGACTTACAAAGTGAAAAGGAGGAAGAGCTACAGTGAGATCACTTCTGAATGGCTGAAAACAGAACTGTAGAGACTTCTCTGTTTTTCTCCTCAGCTCAAACTGACCTCTGTGGAAATCTGAAGATCAGCATATCTTCTTTCTTGTTCTTTCAGACTTCTTATCCTTTGTGCTAGAACTACAGAGAACAGCAATAGGCTAACTTTGAAACTGCTCCCATACAGTGGGACCTGATTACACTGTCGCCATAAGAATGTTAAGTAGAATGTTGGGTTATGGCTATTTGATGGGGTGGGAATGGTCATGCCTGGAAGAGGGTTGTTAGCATTTGGGACTTAATTACTGCCTGTCTCAGCATGATCCTAAATCCCATTCAGTCAGTGGGAAACCTTTCTGTTAATTTTAGTGGACTTTTTACCAAGTCCTCTGTACTCATGGGCAAGGTACATAGGCTGTCAGCTGCACTCAGCTGAGAGATACGTGCCCCTCTTTGGTGAAGGGTCAATGTTTTCTCACCTGTGTGACAGCATTTGGGATATTAGGTGTTCTCTGACAGAAGCAGGTTACTGGGATTTGGGGGTAGCCTTTTTAGATAGCTTAGAACTTATATTCATGTCAGGTTTTAGAGGTTGATGGTAAGGCTTAGATGTGTAATTGAAAGGACAAATGATCCCTGCACAGTTAAACTACCTACCTCACAGGGGAGCAGCAGGCGATGACAGTGTTGCTGCGGTGCTAAGCCTGAGTAGCAGACAGGCAAGTGGTTGGCAGCTGGGACAAATATGGTTCATCCTCCAACAGAGGAGCTGGGTGCCCGCACAGCCATGCAGAACTGAGCCCCTGTTAGCGAGCTCTCGGCGGGCCAGATGTCCTAGGGCCCTTAGCCCAGAAAAAGTATATGCAGGGGTAGATTCAGCTCTTCTTTTTCCCAGGTGTTCACAGATTCTCTGCTCTGATCCCCTTCTGTAATCTTTCTTGGGTTGTTTTTCGGGGTTTTTTGTTGTTTTGGGGTTGGTTTAGTTTTGGTTTGTTTTTTGTTGGTTTTTTTTTTTTTTTTTTTTGAGGCTGGTAACACATCCGCTCACTTCAGTATTCACTTTTCTTTCTCACAGCTGTTACCCTCCTTTTTCACATTTCCTTCAGTCTGGCTGAGGGAAATGTTTTCAGTCGCACAGTGGCAGCTACTCCTCACATTACTCACTTCGAGTTCAGTCACGGGTTGCTTGCGCTGACTATTTATCCCCACTACAGGCTGCTCAGCCCAGAGGGAGCGCAATTTCTGAAATGCCCCTGAGTAGAGAGGCCTGTTAGGAAGCAGCATCTTCTCTGGCATTCGGGCAGCAGCACGGGATCCCAGGAGGGCGACTGCCGCCTGGGTGCGTGCCCTTGGTGCTAAAGCCGCCTCACGGCTCAGGAAGCAGCACATTAACGGAAAAGAACGATGGCAGCAGCTCATGGTCTCCTCTGCGGTCAGTTTGGATCAGAGAAGAAGAAAACACTACAAGGAACGGTAGCGTGAAGGGCGCCTGGCAGCACGGCCGGGCCCTGGTACGGGGGCAGAGCTGCCAGCCCTGCGCGTCGGGCCGGTTGCGGGAGCAGGGTGCCAATACGCGACTGGTGCTTGGCTATCCCAGCCAGCAAGGGAAACAGAGCAGGATACTCAAATAGCCTGGTTTCTGAGGAAAAGGACGGTGCGAGAGCAGAAGGGGCTTTCTGGTTTTGTATTTTTAGTCAAGGGAGAGACAGCACTCTGAGAAACTGAAAGAGCTATGTATAATGTTTTTAAACCATTTTTAATTAAGTGCTTTTTGGAATAAAACAAACGAAAATTAAGTTCTGTTGGGTGCATCACTGCTTAATCAGAATTGCACTATAAGGCCTGGATAGCTCCCAGCTGTTTCCCCTAAGACGGTGAAGTGCGTCTTTCTGTGGTTTTGTTGTGGGTTTGTTTTTTTTTTTTTTTTTTTCCCCCCTTTGTCACAGTAGTATTTAGGCTGTCTACTTCCAGGCTCGGGTCACGCTGGCTGGAAACTTCCTCCGGTCCACTCGCCAGCGGTGCCCGGGGGCTTTTCGGCCCGGTTCCTTTCCCTCGCATCGCTAACCCGGCCCGGGCCCGTCCCTCGGGCCGGGAGGGCCCCGGCCGCTCCCTGAGGGAAGCCGGGCGCTGCCCCGCCGGGCGGCAGGGGGCGCTGCCGGCGCTGCCGGCGCCGCCGGGGAGGAACATGGCGGAGGGAGCCGGCGTGGAGCCGCGGTTCGGCCGCCCCGCGCCGCCGCCGCAGACAGGCTGGGAGCGGCTCAGCGAGCTCTGGCGGCGAGAGTGAGGGCCGGGCAGGGCAGGGGCGGCGGCGGCGGGCGGCGGGCCTCCCTCCGGAGCCCGGCGCCCAGCCCTGTCCTTGCCTTGCAGCGAGCGGCAGCGGTACCCGGAGGAAACGGTGAACATCGTGAAGTCGGCCTTCACCGGGGGACTGTTCGGCTGGCTGTACGGCGGGCTGCCGGCCTTCTACCAAGCCCGGAAGGCTTTCATCGAGAGGAGCCACGGGGAGCTCTTTCAGAACCGCGCCGACGCGGTGGTACGAGCGGGCCCGGCGGCGGAGCCCGGCCGGCCGGGAGCGCCGCGCTGCCGGGAGCGGGCGGGGGGAGCGCCGGGCGGGGACCGGAGCGTCCGAGCCCCGCAGGCTCCAGCCGCCTGAGGGCGCCGGGGGAGGGAGCAGCTGCCGCTGGGCCGCGGCCTCGGCGGGCCCGGGCTGAGGCGGGTGCGCCTCACGCGGCGCTCGGTGGGTGCTGGGTGGCTCCTCAGCCCACGCGTCTGGGCTTTCGGCTCTTGAATTTTAGCGTGTTGGCAGGAGGCTTCGCGGTGCCCAGCTGGCGTTGTCCTCTTACTCACGCGAGTTATGTTGAGGCCGTTTAAAGTCCTTTTAGCTTATCGCTACGCCTCGCAACAAAGAACATGTGTGACATTTCATAAACGTACTGGGAGTTTGTTCTTCAGTTACGGTGTTGGTGACCTGGATTATTAGGAAAAGAAAACAGCCCTTTAAAAACCTGCCTAATTTCACATCATTGGCTATTTAGATTTGGCTCCTCACCGAGTGGCCTGCAGAATGTCGGTGCCAGGCTTCTCTCTGCCCTTGTGCTGACTGTCCTGTGCGTCTGCACCCGGGCAGTCTGCTTACACCACAGGCACGGGAAGAGGGTATCAGTTTTCTTTCATGGTATTAACTGGCATATTTTTAATTTTTATGAAGCTTCTGTTTAATCACATCTATTTAAAAGCCACTTACTGGCTAACTTTTAAGCGCCAGTGCTAAACTTCAGAGCTTGATGATCTCTTAACATTTAAAGTAGGTGGTTATTGTTTACTTATTACGATAAATATTCGTTAATGGTTATTATTTATTAGTACTTATAAACTTGTAACAATTGAGAATTAGTTTGTAGTTCGTCCCCCCTTTCTTCTCTGCTGCTTTCCCATACTGTCCTCAGAAAGCTTTCCCTGTCCTCCCAGCACTAGGATTAGAAAGACCAGTTGACATTACAAACTGGAATTAATTCCTGGTTTTCCTGTTGGTGGCAGGGGTAAACGTGAGCGGCTTTTCCTCTGAAGGTGACAAACTTGATCTCTGAGGGATCCCAAACGCCACCAGTCCCACGACCCGTCACGAGTACCCCGGGTCGCAGTGGGCCGGTGGCGATGCTGGCGGGGGGGAGCAGGGCTGTGATCTGTAACCTGCCTTCTCTCCCCCCCTAGCAATCCGCGCATCGGGCTGGTCTCAGGAGTTTCATCCGCTACGGCTGGCGCTGGAGCTGGAGGGTGGCCACTTTTGTGACAATATTCAAGTAAGTGTTTCCCGATGGTTGTGGGAGAAGAGCTTATGCTTCAGCACTAGTGGCACAGAGCCCTTCGTGCCAGCAGCGCTCGCAGCTTCTTGGGAGAGGACTGGTGATTGATTGAGGCTCAAAGTGACGTGTTAACAGTGAGTCTGATTGAGAAGGTGCAGACATGAAGAAGATTTAACCTTGTATAATTCAGAATCTAAATCTAATGAACCAACATGAAAATTAAGACCGGAAAAACCCCGTTCCACACATCTAATCTAGGCTGTTATTGACTTGAATACTGCTTTTCCCTGTACTTGATGGCTTATTTCTGCTTTTGCTTCATCTCTTTTCTTGCATTTTTCTCTGTGAGAGTGTCACAGTGTGTTGGCTGCTTCTGGAAGAGTTTTCTGTCCCACGCTGATTTTTCTCCTTTTTGTTATGTCTCATTACTCCTAGTTTGCATACACCAGCATTACTCACAATTCTATCTTCTTGTCCTCAAATGCTTGCAGATGATCATCTTGTTATTAAGCAGTTGCTGAACATCAGACCTACCAGTTGTATGTACCTCTTTAGGCCTTCAAATTTTTCCTAGCACACAACCAACACAGAGATAGTGTTCCGCTTCCCTGATTTTCTCCTTCAGAGGTGTCAGTGCATTCTGACAATATAGCATCAAACTAAGCATGCTTTTCCAAATAAAGCTCTTTTAAACTAGGAGTATCTCCTTCCCTGATGTCCAAAATAGTAAATTTTTGTGTAGTCCTAACCCTTAATTCACTATATCTGCAGGTGTGTTCTGTTTAAATTCCCTTTCTACTTTTAATATACCAGAAATATTAACTAGCATTGTTTTCTATTTCTCTCTCTAATTTTTTTGTTCCTTTATGAATTTCTTCCTTGATCTCTCTCGGTTTCTTTGACTCCTTTTGGTTTAGTATCTGTTCTTAGGTTTAGTTAGCGTATTGTTTGCTTTCTCTCCTGGAGCTTTTGACTTCTTTGAGTTTCCCTGGGCTTGACATGTAACCTCATCGTTTTCCACCAGATGTCTCCCCTGCAGTCAGATCATCGCCCTTTTTCACCAACCCTTTGTAAAAGACTCTCGGCATTGATTGTTTACGTAAAGTCCAAGTTGAAGATTTCATCCTGCTGTTGTGCAAATTTTGAGTTTTGCAGCTTAAAACCAAATTGTTTAGTGGTATCTTGTACAAAGGCTAGGGTGGTGTTACAGCGTTGGGAAGGAGAGGAAGATTCCTGTTGACTTGCAGATGTCATGCAGGAGGCTCGCTAAGGTGCTGGGGAAGCTGTGGCTGCTGAACTGAGAACAGAGAGTCTTTTGGGGCTTAACCAATGTTTTTGGAGGAGATGCTGTACTTACCCTGGTGGGAAGTCTCATGCCTCAAGAGTAGGTGACCCTGCTGACGTCATGAGTGTGACAGCTCTGCTGGTGGGGACTGTCTGTCAGGCAAGGTCCTTACTGACACACGAATTCAGCTTCTGGGGGTCAAGGTCCCACATCAGGACTGACTGACAGGATCTTTTCATTGCGCAATTCCTTTTATCCTCGAATAGACGATGGAAAAAAATATCTTTGATTAAAAAAAAAGAAAAAAAAAAGGATATTGCAGATGCAGGCCGGGAATCCTGGTGTTCCCTGGCCTCTGGCTGTGCAGCTACCAGCAGTAAAGTCACAGAAATCAAGGCACTGGTGGCTGGCGCGTGTGCGCTCTGGACTGCTGGGCAACACGGCAGCGAGAGGCGACCAGAGGGTCGGCTTAATGAGATCCAGCTTTATTTCAGGCTACCTGCCTTTTTCTGTGGGCAACTGCTGACTTCTGTGCCTTGTCTTTGCAGCATGGTGAGCACTGGTCTGTCTGTGTACCGCAATAAAACCACCATCAGCCATTTTGCTTCAGCAGGAGGTAAGACTGCTATAACCTCGTGTACTTTTCTCTTTATGAGCAAGGGACATGAGCAGGAATCCCTGTTGCTTGGATTTGAGTGGGTCTCTAGCTTCTGTGCTCCTGGTTTTGTTTCCTGCTCTGCCACCTGCCACTGTGACTTTTCTCCGTTGTTTAACTGCTGCGTGTTTTTATTTGTAGCAGAGAGGTGTCGATGCATTTCTGAAACCATTGGGGAGTTTTGTGGTTATCAGTTTGTCTTCACAATACTTGCTGGAGTTTTTTGGGTGAAGAATGCTCGTGTAGGGTAAAGGCAACACTTGGTGCATAACCTGCTCTCACAGCCACCTGTTTAGCAGGGAAAGCATTTCTTATTTCTGCTCTTTATAACAGTTCAGTGCACTGTTTGTAAACTGCCCTTTTCATGCTAAATTTTGCATGTCCACTTTTGGCAGGGCTCTGGGTAAGTGATCTGCTTGTTTGGGTTTTATAGGCTTTATTGCCCTTGCAGTTGGATACGTGTTTTACTGATCTTTTCTGCCTTACATGGCAGCTTCTATTATTAGCTGTTGTTGAAAAAAAAAAAAAAAAAAAAAAAAAAAAAAAAGTGGGGGAAGAGCTCACACTCCAGCCTGGAGAGAGCTTGGTTTTACTTTCATAGATACTTTTACTTTGTAGCATTTCTTGGGGAGTTTTTCTGACGCAGAAGGAGCTTTGTGCAGTGGTACAGTGCAGAGACCACGGTGACTGTATGGTGAGGGTCCCTCCCGCTGGCCAAGGCACTTGGTTTCTGCACTGTTAAAAGTAGAAGTGTGCTGGGTTTGTGAGCGTGGCGGGGGTTTGTGGTAGCTGGGGAGGGGGCTATGGCTGTTTGTGGTTTCAGTGGATTTATGGTTTGTTTTTAGCCTTCACAGGAGCCCTTTTCAGAATGCACTTGGGCCTGCAGGGGCTGGCAGGCGGCTTCGTGTTCGGAGCAGTGGTTGGGTGAGTTGTGGCTGCTGCCGATGAGTGATCAAGGCACAACTGCTCTTTAAGGGTGTCAGGTGGTGGCCGTACACACCAAGCCTGGAATCACAGTTGGGGCTACAGAAGCTTCCCTTCCTCTCTTACCTTGAGGGATTTTCTGTATCTCTCTTGGGACCTCATGATGATGACTTTTCTTCCAACCTTTATGTTGTTTTTTTAACTTCTTTTTTTCTTGATTCATGTTTTCCTGCTTCCTCGATAAGAACTCAGTGCTCTTAACAGAGCATCTTACTTGCTGCTATTTGCCTGTTAGAGGAGACACTAACTACTGTTAAATAGGAAATTGTGAGGCTGGGTTATGGACATGTCTCCGGTCCCCCTTCCTTGGCATGGTCGCTGGACAGCCCAGTGGCTGTGTGCAGAACTGCTGGGACATCTGTTTTAAGGAACTGTGTTGTCTGTGGGTAAAGGCAGGCGTGTAAGACACACCTTTTGGGCACCCTTCTCAGCTTCATCAGCAGCTGCTCCTGTAGCAGCTCAGAATCCAGGCGGGGCACAAAGGGTGTTGGATGTCATGATGACACCTTTTGAAGAAGGGGAAACCCTGGGAACTGTCAGCCCCTCGGCTAGGAATCTGTGTAAAAACAAATTTTTTTGTTTTTGTTTTGTTTTTTTCACAAAATCGGATCTATCAAAGCCAAAATGTGAAACAGCAGCCATAAGGAAAGGCTGAGGAAGGAGCTGTGTGGTTGGGCTGCACAACCCAAAGCTGTAAGGTGGCACATCTCTTCCTGTATGTCTCAGTCGCGTATCTCCTGAAGCTCCCTGGGGCATGGAGGAACCCATGGTTCTCTCTCAGGGGCTCTGTCCATTAGGACAGTGACCTCTTAACTCAGGAGAAGTCTGACTTTTCAAGCAGAACTGGGATTTCTTCTTAAAATACTGACATGTGAATATCCTCACAAGTGAATTTGGGGATCCTGCCTGGACAAGAGAATGAGCTTTATGTGTGCTGCTTAGCACGGTCAGGGTGGTGTCAGCCATGGACATGCCTGGAGCCAGCCTAGGGAGCTTTACCATCGAAAACACAAGTACCTCCAGAGCTGGACAGAAGCTAAGCAGGGGTGTGTGACTGTCTAAATTATGGGTTAGGTGATCTGTAGGGGTTGTTCGGGCACCTTAAATCCTCCTACTCCTTTGCCCCGTGGGTGTCTGTCAATAAGTAAAGTCAAAATAAGTTGTTGAAGGGGCTGCAGTGAGTCACAGCTGACGACAGGCTGCGTTTGGTGGCTGACAGTAGAATAGGAGTGCCTTCGTCTGTGGTGTGATGTGAGTATCGGGGAACATTCTGCTCCACTGATCTGGTGGCTGGCCCCCGCGTGCTCCTTTTGCCAATGCCGGTAAGTTATTACTGTTGTGTGTCCCCTGGGTGACTTGTGACTTTTCTGCTTCCTCCTCTAGGATCCCTGCAGGGGGCCTCTTAATGATAGTGCAGAAGCTTGCTGGTGAGACCTTGCAGGAGAAGAGAAATCGTGAGCGCAGGGAGCTGTATGAACAGAAGTTAGCAGAGTGGTAAGGAACAACCCTGGCTGCCTGTTGAGGTCTTTGACTGGAAGTGTGTCTAGGTCTGTGTGGTTCAAACGTTTAAATAAAACGTGACACACTAGGTTTTTTAAAACCTCGGTTCTTCTGCTCTTGCTTTTTTGTTAAAAATTTGTGCCCTGCCTTGGCCCAGTAATTCTGCATCAGTTTTTCTCTTTTGCAGTGGCCAAGAAGACAAGCAGGACAAGCACATTAGTATTTCTGTACCAAAATTGAGAGAGGCCAGAACTCTGGCTTTTCCTTCATTGCTGCCTTCTTTCCATCCCCGTTAGAGAGAGGAAGGAAGAAGGATAGCTTGAGGCTTTGGGGAGAAAGGTTATGACACTGGTTGAATGACTTACTAAAGCTCACAAATAGTGCCAGTTCTAGAAGAAACTTTTCAAGAGTTGGGATTCTGCAGTGATGCCTTTGTCAGGAGGATACAGGCATAAAATTACTCCGTGCTCTCCCTTCTCTTGTTAGGCAATCCAGGCTCAGCGTGACTGAAGTCTTAGGCCAAATGGAGAGCAACACCGAGGGAGGACTGGAGACGGAGAGAGCAAGAGAATCGAGGAGCTACTGAGTCTTCCCTACATCTGTTGTAAGCAGCCACAAAGTATTTTGATTCTGCTCGTAAGTCTTCAGTCAAGGGGTCACAGGAGTCTTCTGTGAATGCAGTTACATCTTGTGCACTTGTAAAAAACCGTTTTGCTGAAAACATTGTTTGTGGATGCGTATCACTGCACAGGAGCTTGAGAGGGCCAAACCTGTTCCACCTGCACAGGTGGAAGTGCAGACAAGTGTCACCTAGGTTTGGCGGGGGGTGAGGGCAGCCCCAGAGCCTCGTCTAGAACCCATTTCACTGCTGAAAATGTCCAAACCACCAGCGATGTAGAAATATTCAAGGTAAAGGAGCCTCTGAATAGTTCGGATGCTAAAGGTGCCCTGATTCCAGAAGCTAATCACGCGCTGGGGAAAGCTCCTCTGTGCAGACAGCGCCTGGAGAGCCCGCTGCCGATGCGCGAGTCCCCTCCTCTCGCCGTCCCGCTCCCGCCGCTCGGCTGGGGCTGGGGCTGGTTTGCTGACGGTGGTTTCTTCAGGCTTTTTGCAGAAAAACACACATGCTTCCTACAGTACTTGGGGTATTTTGCAATCAGTGTTGAGGAAGGGTGAGGGAGCTGGGAACGATCCGGAAATACCCTGAAAAAGACATTTTTTGGGTTCCTCAATAGAAGTGTGGCTGAGGGGCCCACAGAAAGGATGACTTGTTTCTGGTGGTGACGGTGGAAGAATTGACACTGTGAACAGTTTTAACAGCAATAGAAAGGCATCTAATTTAATTTGAAGGTTGGAAATTAGGGGATTGCCTTTGGGGGAAATGTGGTTCGAGGCACTTAATAAAGCCATCTAGCAGTGGAGACTGTGTCTGTAAGCTCTTTATGTTAGTGTACAGTAGGTACTTTATGTTAATAGAGTACTTGCATTAGAGAAATGTACTTGAGTGATATCTCATGGGAAAAGCACTATCTAAGATCCCACCAGTGAGCAATAAAGTCTGGTGGTGGTGTCAGACATTCTTCTACCCAGACAGTAACAAAGACAAGAGCCAGGAGGGTGCCCCAGGCTCCATTTATTATTGGATACCAGAGATCAACTGTTAGGTCATAGCTGTTACCTATGGGTAGGGCTGAAGTTAAACTAATAATGGTCTGTAGCCAGAAGGGCCAGGTGGCCCATCACCATTTCCCTCAAAGCAGAAGGTCGGAATTCTGGTCCCCTTTCTTTGCTGGAGTTTGTTCTCCTATTAAAGAGCATTACATCCAGGCAGGGGGTTCAAGTCTCCTTCCCACAATAAAAGAGTAGTCAGTCTGTTCTGGCTGAATGCTTTTCTCTGTTACAGCTGATTACTGTTGATTGAAATATGAACAGTCGATTCCACAGAGTGTATTCCACCCACCCAGAGCAGATTTTTGGCACAGCTTGCTTCCAAGAAGGTGTTGTGTTTTCTGACTCCTGAAATGAGCATTTTATTTTTTAAACACCTCAATGAAGTTCATTTTTCCATTGAACAAATACATGTGTTTCAGGGTTGTCATCAACCCAACATAAAATGGTTTGGGTTGGATGGGACCTTAAAGACCATCTAGCCCCAACCCCCCTGCCACGGGCAGGGACACCTTCCACCAGACCAGGTTGCTCCCAGCCCCATCCAACCTGGCCTTGAACCCTTCCAGGGAGGGGGCAGCCACAGCTGCTCTGGGCAGCCTGTGCTGGTGTCTCACCACCCTCACAGTCAAGAATTTCTTCCTAATATCTAATCTATATCTACCCTTTTCCAGTTTAAAACCATTACCCCTTACCCTATCACTACACCCCCTGACAAAGAGTCCCTCCCCACCTTCCCTGCAGCCCCCTTTAAGCACTGGCAGGCCGCTGTAAGGTCTCCCTGGAGCCTTCTCTTCTCCAGGCTGAACAACCCCAGCTCTCTCAGCCTGGCCTCACAGGGGAGGTGCTCCAGCCCCCTGAGCATCTTCGTGGCCTCCTCTGGACCTGCTCGAGCAGGTCCATGTCCTCGTTATGCTGGCAGCCCCAGAGCTGGACACAGTGCTCCCAGTGGGATCTCACGAGAGCAGAGTAGAGGGGGAGAATCCCCTCCCTTGAACCACTGGCCACGCTTCTCTTGATGCAGCCCAGGGCACAGTTGGCTTTCTGGGCTGTGAGCGCACATCTGGGTCATGCTGAGGTTCTCATCAACCAACACCCCCAAGTCCTTCTCCCCAGGGCTGCTCTCAATCCACTCATTGCCCAGCCTGTGTTTGTGCTTGGGATTGCCCCGACCCATGTGCAGGACCTTGCACTTGGCCTTGTTGCACTTCATGAGATTTGCACAGACCCACCTCTGCAGCCTCTCCGGGTCCCTCTGGATGCATCCCTGCCCTCCAGTGTGTCGACCACACTGCACAGCTTGGTGTGGTCAGCAAACTCGGTGAGGGTGCGCTCAGTCCCACTGTCTGTCTCACCAACAAACAGCAGGAAGGATCTGAATAAGCAGAGGTATGGATGTGACTCCCCATTTTAAGCTTTGCATGCATTGGTGACAGTAGTGTTAATGTCCTCTGCCCCCTCAAAAAATAGGAGGCCTTTCTGAGTCACATTTTTGCCATTGTGGTTACACAGCATTGTTTTATATATTTTTTTTTATCTTCTTTTTTTGTTGTTACATCCCCACCCAGTATCCCACACTTTCAGCTGCACAGCAGTTCTGATGACATTTAGCTGTGTCGCTGCTCATTCTTTCTCTATTCCCATTTAGTGGTATTTGGTGCGACTTCTAAAGAATACTAATCTTGTGTCTGACCGTTGATGCAGGGATGTTCTTCCATGGGAGCGTAGGCAGAGCCAAGGTGTAGCAGCTGTGTCAATTTTCTCTCCATGTAAGGAAGGAAGGGCTGCTAGACATCCTTGTGCTGCCCGTTAGCAAGGGGAAGCAGAGACTTCCACTTACACTCAAGTTCAGCAGCCATTTTTTGCTCTGTTTCCTGCTGAATTTGGTTCTGTGCACTTCCTCATTTCTTGCATTTAAAGTCACTGTCCAAACAGGGAGTGAAGAGGTGGTTCAGAGCTTATTTTTTCCATACAAATGTAAGGGATTCTTCACACCCCCACTGCCCACCCCACCCCCAGCAGAAGCACAACACTGAAGTTGCAGCTCCTCTGCTTTCAGAGTAGGTAACACAAGTAGCCGGGATACAGTGAGAACATCTTATGCAGGATTTTGCTTTTGCACAGAACCTTCCTTCTTGGCAGGGAGAAGGAAGACCTGTTGCAAACTGAGTGTCGAGCACCGTAGCTACACTGCTCTGTTAATCCCTGACAAAATGACAGACGTGAGATACATGGAAGTTGCAGGTTGGGTACCCCCGTGCCATTTGGTCATTGCTGGTGAGCACGCTGAACAGAGCGGTGTCCTGGTGCCAGCTGTACCTGTTACAGCTTTGTCAACCAGCTGCATCACCTACCTTGATGCTACACAGCGTATGTTTTCAGCAGCTGTGAAATGGTGGCTGGGGCTCGTGTGAATGTTTGAAAGGCTCTACCACTTCCCAGTATGTAGAACAGACATCTTCTATTACCGAGGAGAGGAAATTGAGTTTACCGTTTATTTTTTAATACAATTAAAGGAGGAACCCCAGGAAAAAATATTATATACAAAATACCTGTGATAACAGAGCAGCCCACCTGGTACAAAGACCCAGGTATTAAGCTGAAAAGGTCTCACAGAAACCATTTGTGTGCAATTCACTGAATACAGCATAAGGCAATAGGAAACATGAATCATAGCATAAATGCTTAAGGAAAAAATAAACCAAATAACCTGCCCATCAAGAATATAAAACCAAACATGCTAGACATATTTGTCAGTGAAACTTTCTGTTTCCTTTAGAAGGAGTTACTTAGAGTGTCACAGGAGTTTGTGGTGATGTAGAGAGGTTTGGCACAGTGCAAAAGGCAAACCCTTCTTGAGGAGGCTGTGTGATCATCAGTCAGGAGCTGGAGAAGAGCACGAGGTCATCAGAGGGAAAACGTGCCAGTATGACTGTCAGAGCTGTGGTGTGGCTGATACGTTGTGGTCATAGCAGGAAAGGAAGCGCAGTGTTGAAAATGAGCAAAGTAAATACACAAAGAGGGTGTTCAGCCTGCAAGAAGCTAGCAGTTTGTGCTGGAAAGAACAAGCATGGACTGAAAGAAAAGGAAACTTGAAAAGTAAGAGACACCATCGCCCATACACAAAGTCCTGCAGTAAGGTCACGCTGCCTTTTGGAAACACTTCTGTGTCACCTATGTTCTGCTTGCAACCAGAATGCACAAGGGCAAAGACTATTGCTTCCTCATCACTCACTTTACCTCCTTTTCTGTCAAAAGACCCTCTGTAAGAATGTTCTGAAGTTCCCGTTTCACTTCATACAGTGGGAAAGCAGTAAAAAAGCTGACGGTGCAGCATGACTGTGCAGGAGTAGAAAGGGAGTGGTGTCTTATTTTTTACTAGCGACTTGATCCCTTAACCTCTCATAGCTCAATCTTCTATAAACCAATTTTAGTCCTCCTATTTCCTCCAGCAATTTCTCCCTCAATAAGTACCCGCTAGAAAAAAGTGAAATGGATGGACTATTTCTTTGCTGTGTTCCAGCAAGATAAACAGCTCAAGCAACAAAACACCCCACAAAGAGGACGGCGTGGTGCTTTTAGACTTCGCTTTGCCCTGCTGACTACACACATGGATAGAGCAGTAAGGGAATGGGCAGAGCTTGCTGTGGGACAGAGCAAAAGGGAAAAACAAACCTGTCACACTGAGGGCAGGGTTGAGTTAGGTTAGTATGCGGGGTTGCTTAGGAAGCTTGTTGGGGCTTGGGGGTTTTTCCTCTTTTCCCCTCAAAATGAGAAACCGCTTTTTCCTACACAGTAGGCAAGAGTATCACCCAGATCAGATGAGTCCTATCCAATGCTAGCATCCTGCAGGGAACTTCCTTCAAGTCCTGGCTGGGTAGAGAGAACGCTGGCAGAAAGCAGCAGCGTTCAATGCAAAGTAAATTCCTATGTGTCTTGAGAGAGTTCCAAGAACCTGGAGAGCCTACCCTAACAAGTATTCCTAGGCAAATGTATGAACTAAAGCAGACCTGTGTTTATGAAGCAAGGTCCTGAGTTACACTTCATTACAGTAGATAGATAACCACTGAGTGTCACAGAAATTTAAATGGGGCTTTGCGAGTGTGGGTAGGAAGGAATGCATATAAAAGCTTGCACGTGTGTATGTGCAAAGGTGTGCACATGCGTGCACTCACACGCACCACCATGTGCTCCTGGATCTCCGAGTAATGTACTGGAGGAGCTGGTATCTTGGTACCTGGGCTGGCAAGGCCGTCCTTTCAGGAGAGAAAGGTTACGAGAACTTCTGCCACTGCTGTAGATAAGCAATATTAGTTAGCTGCTAGGTGTGCCATCAGTATGTATCATTCCCTAAAAAGTCTCATAGCACTGAAAATAATCATGAGGCGTATCGTCCCACCCCAGGGTGCTTTTTCATGAATAGTGTGTGCATTATTGCCTCTTCAGGGGAAAAGGGACATGCATCTGTAATGGTCAATTCCAAATCCAAAGCCCTTCAGCACAGAAAACAGTACTGGCAGGTACCTGCGTGAGGCTGAATATAAAAGACATTTTAGCTGCTCCCAGTTGCAAGACGGAGGCACAACCTGACTTGAGATTGTGTGTCGGGGTCTGGGGTCTCCCAAAGGCCAGCTCGGCGTCACTACAGGGGTAGGCGGGCGTGGGCTACCTGCTAGGGCTCTGCAGACCCCAATTTTCATAGAGCCAGCATCAAAGCCAGAGGAGCCCAAGCTCTCGAACTGGCGTGTCGATGCTGACGACGCTCTTCTTCCGCTCCACTGCAGGAACACAAAGGGTCCTCCCGGCTGGCATCGCAGTGACCCCGTTGTAAGGAGATCACCTCGCAGTTTCTGTGGCGTAGTTGGGGTTTTGTATTCATTCACACAAGATTACGTTGTCAGTCTTCCTGAGCAGGGTTTTCTACTGCTGTCGTCCCCTTTCAGAGAGCCAAAGGGTCAACGCAATAAGCATTGCTGTACAACGAGCAGTGGGGACTGCAGTGCGGAATGCACGGGACAAGAAACCTGAGGGGCACAAAGAAAAGATTTTACCGATTTTTTTTCCCCCCCGCTTCTTCCTAATCCTGAATGTAAACCAGAATGTTGCAGAGCCGAGGCAAACGGGGATCACCTGCGATAGCCCTCCACAAGAGGGCTCCTATTACAGCAAAGCCAGAGCTGGGCAGCTCCAGACAGGCGCTACGGCCCGCTACGGACTGGCCCGGCGCCTACTCTGAAAAATCTTTGGGCCGTGCAGAGGTGCTATCCCTCTGCGAGGTGAGGGTGGCTAATGAATGTGCTCCCCTATTTAAGCAGCGGCAGGACATGGCTCAGCACATCACGGGGTTGCGAGATGACAGTCGGCCGCCAGGGAAGCACAGCTTCCACCCCGGCCCGCAGACAGCAGCCCTTCCACGCGCCGGAGCTGGGAAACACTAGCCACTTACAGAAAAAGCCTGGCAAACTTTTATAGCAAAAGAGGCATGTGGCAGACTGGATTTATTCAGTAGGTGAACTCCTGCCACTCCCATCACAAAACCCCCCAGAATTCATGCTAACCCAGGCTCTGGTATCTGTTCCAGATAGGGCCTTCCCCAAAGGAAAACATGAGTGGGTGGTCAGGTTTGGAAATGAGATGGGTGGCCTGAATGATAGTTTCCCCTCCTTTCCATCTCAAAAATGTTAAGCTTTTAGATTGCTGCAATGCACAGCATGACAAATTCATGACTTCTAGGACTCCACAGCTGTTCTCCTAGCAATTCAGCATGCTGTGGTAAGAGCAGGAAATGCAGTCACCTGGGATAACGATGTGAATCAGAACAGTTAGCTGCTAATCTGTCCTTAAGTCTCATGACTTGAAAAATATCTTTTTGGAGGACACAGCCCTGAACACAGCTGAGCTCTCAAGCCAAAATGAATATAATGCTTTGCAGTCATAAACCCTTAGCAAGCTAGAATTTTCCCCAGCCCATCCTTCACAACACTTTATTATCGAAAGTAACTCCTTTCAAAATACGAGTGTTTCCTGGGCAAGTCTTAGCGGGGAAACTTCCTTCTCCGTCCCTCCAGCTGCTGAAGGGGATGGAGATATCTCAGAAGTGGACTGGCATTGCTAATCTTACTGGGAAAGCTGAAGTTCTCCTGTTTTTCACTTCTCCCTCACCACTAGTTGGTCAGTCCTTTATTTCTATCGTCAGTGATGTTCCTGTGCTTACGCATCTATCTGATCAGGCACATGGCTCACAGGGCATCAGACAGAAATAATCTCTGGGGGATGAACCCACGTGTGGGACCTGTGGTAGTGATGAGCTACTCACAAATGAGTTCAACAGGACAGGAACTAAAAGACTGCCCAGTTCTTAGTTGGGAGGCCAATGAAATGAGCGCGGGGGCAGTGGCAGGGGATGTCACTGCAGATCCTGATAGATGGATGACTGTGCTACAAACCCAAACAAAGCAGTGCCCCACAAGCAACATGAGCATCATTCCTCTAGTTACCTGACCGGGAAACACCATGTGTCTGAGTTGGCAATAGGGCCCTACTGCTTTCATTTTCCCTAAAGGACAGCATGCACTCATATTAGAAGTCACACATGGTTTTGTGAGCTAATATCACACGAGAATCTAATGGTATCTGAGAAACTATTTTGCCAAGAGAAGAATGGTGAAGAAAACTACCTGCAAATGCGATCTGGTCATAGGGATGATGTTTCAGATGACACTTTAGAGCTCATGGGTGGCTTTGTACATTCTTTCACACCTTCTTCCACTGAATCTTGATGCTTAGAACAGTAAGAACAGACTGAAAAAGAAGATCCCTCATTAGTATTTGGAATACCAGAAGACATAAAAGTGCTGAATCTAAATGTCTTCTTCAACAAAGTAAAGTTTAACTGAGAGTGGGAAGGAAGAAGAGAATAAATTAAAGAAAAAGACATATTTTAGGTCTAGTTACTTCTATTTTATCTTGTCAGGGCTTATCCCTGCAGCACATCTGAATATGACTGGCCCACAGCCATAGTCTGATCTGATAGGAAGCCCTGTTATATATAAATGTTATCTATATAGTGTCATATGGATAAACCAGTTCTCATTAGCACAGGGCTAGGACCTCAGCCTGGCACAAAGACAGGTTGCTATGTGCTAAGATAAGGTCAGAAGGGAAATAATGGTAAAAGTTATCTGGCACTAAATGCAATTTATCAAGTGAGTGAAAGATTGCCGGTGTTTGAACCAACCAACCAACCAACTCTTCAGTGGAGTTCACATTAAAAGGAGTTCACATTAAACAGGTCCCATTAGTATGTCAGCATCTATGAATGACTTTTGTTTAATAATTCAAGCTGAACATCTCTGTACTATTACAGCAAATTGTACTTGCACAAATTTTACAACATGAATTCTAAGCTATTCATTAAGTGACCTCTAATCTTGGTCTAATCTTGATGCTTTGTGTTAAATTAATTGAAGAGCCAAAAAAAAAAAAAAAAAATCTGAAGATATTGCATTCTTAAATTACCGCAAAGATAGGCTATGAGCTTCTCAAAGTAGGGGGTTGTGAACCTCAACAAAGCATGTACATGTTTTGGTCACCACCACAATCACGCATCTGAGAACTCTCATTTCCGTTTTGCTCTATCTTTCTCTTCTTCCCTCCCACACTTCAGCTCTTTGAAGCACATCTTTCTGAGCTCAGAAACCACTCTTAGCATCAAAGCAGCTCCTGATTCAGCTTTCCATATGCCAGAACAACAGAGGTACTGTCAGACCTATGCCGAGCTCCCACAGTAGCTCTTGAAAGGTGACCTGTAGCAACACCAGCAGGAAGCAAGTATTTCCCCTCCCAGCGAGGTGGCAATGCACAGCAGCACCAAAATGTGACAACTGTACAAACTGGGAAGTTGAATTGAATCTCTAGCTTCAGTTGCTTAGAGTATACACCTGGTCTGGAAAGTGGCTGTACAAAATAGCACCATCTGACTCGGCAAGTCTACTCCCTGTGCATATTAGGAAAACCGGACTGAAAGGGAAATTCCAGTTTATGCAGCCATGTCCCATGCTGTTGCAGGTGGTCACATTTTACCACATTGGTATGCTGTTTTCATCTACTTTGAAAGCAATTTGGTTTCTATATAAAAGGCTATCTTGGAATGCTCCAGGATCTTACTAATTTAACAGTAAGGAACCTTTTAATTTCCAGCCTATAGTTGTTTAGAGCCAAATCTTCCAATTCCAGTTCATTTTCTCCTGTAATTAGAAGTTCATTATCCACGCAGCTAACAGCACAGGCTGTGATCAGCTGTGATTTTCTTGGTTTCAACCTGCTTGCTGCTTTCCCGTTGACATGGCCCCGGGGAACAACAGGGAAGAACCAGCACTGGTGTCATAGGGGCACATGAGTGGAAAATGAGGAGGCACACAGGTGTGGCCAAGAGTCACTGGCTTCTAGAAGCTTCCTTTCTTTGTGATAAAACTCCAAAAAATAATTCGGCCTGGCCTGACTCAGTGGTCACATTGGTTTTTGAAGGGATGTGGTTGGTGAGGAGCGGAAAAGAATAATAGTAATGCTACCTCCACACCTCTGACTCGGGAGTGAACTTGTCTGAAGTGGAAACAGAGGTAGCAGAAGACACAAGCATGACAAATGTACAAGTGTCCCCAAGTGAACTAAGTCCCTGCTGCCCAGCAAATAACCTCTTCCCAGCGAGGGATACCACTGCGACCGTCATGAGCTAAGGCGCTCAGACTGGTGGCTTCTGGTTTAAGTGGGCTGAGCACAGAGCACTCTCGGTGTGGGATTCTTGTCTCCAGACTTGACTTCCCCATTCACCTGACAGAACTTGATTGGGTGATATTTATAACATGTTGCAAGGCCTGCCGCCTTTCTCCAGGACTGCTTTTCAAAGCTGCTAACAGGATGTGGATAAGACATCTACTGCTGTTGACTTTCAATGCTGGCTGGATGCCTAGCTGCCTTTACAAATCCAGTAGATGCCTACCAACATCTACAGGGGCTTTCTGGCTAGGTCAGTTTAGACATGATTAGGAGCAACAGCTAGCAAATGAGATTTTTTTCAGCCACAAAAGAAAATAATAAAATCCACTCAGCTGCCAGCTAACCCTGAGATGCTTGAGGTCCCTTTTGCTGTTGAAAAACTCCTGGAGATTTGTCTGGAGTTATTGAAGACTTCATAGGGTGGGTGGGACAGGGCAACTCACCTGTGCCATTTTTGGCCGCACAAAGAAGACAAATCCATCTTTCCTAATTGGGATTGACCTAAAAGTGGGACATTGCTATGCTTAAGTCCTTTCTGTGGCCCTAGCACTACATTTTTTTGTAACTTTGGCTCTGTGACTTTTCTGAGGGATTGTCTAAGTAGGGTGTGTAGAGAGATCCCATTTTGAAAATGTCAGTGCTCAGCTGTATCTATCAAGATCACCAAGATTCTTGGCATCTTCAAGAATCTTAATACATAAAAATGGACCTTTATGACTCTTTTCAATTCTGTATACTCCTGATTTTGGAAATATTCTGATCTTCTGTCAAAAGTCCCCATCAGCCCTTCACCCTCAAACCTGAACCCTAGTGCTGCCTGCACACAAAATGTAGGAAAGTCCTGAGCTGGACTTAGATTTTGTGAAAGTAGATGCTGCATGAAAGAAAAAAAAAAAAAAAAGGAAATGAGAAGAAGGTACAAAAATACCTACAGTGTCAATATAGTTTCTATAAATATGTATTTTACATAGCAACTCCATAAGCAGTATGAGACTGTTTCTTGAAAAAGGAGCTACACTTACCACGCCTCGGGAGGTATCGTGCTGCCAGGGTGATAGCCAAAAGGAAGCTGATAATGATGATACTTGAAGCAGTAATGACATTATAAGATGGAGGCACAGTAGGGACAATGCAGTTACTTGTTTTTTCTGAGACAGAAGAAATAAGACATAAACAAAGGGCCCAACAACATATTGGCATTTTCATACAAGAGCAATTACGTGAATTTTGGTGGTCCTGGCCAAATTCTAACTCAGATAGTCAGCCTGAAAATCTAACTATTCAGTAAATGAACAGACAGATCTAGCATATTCCATTCCCCCACACTTGCTATGTGCTGAAATTTTTAACACATCCACAGAATCTGAAATGCTGGGTCTTTGTCCAGAACAGGACTGAGACAGGCAATATTTAAAAACTCATAAGCTGTTTTTAAAGAAACTGGTTAGGCTTGGTGGGAAAGTCTGAGTCCATATCTAGAAGACTTCCATTCTCAAAGGTACTCTGCAGTTTTTCTTACTGTTTTCACCAGATATATGCCTAAATTTTTTCCCTCTGAATTCACAGGTGATGGGAAATGATACGTTAAACAAACTAGAATAGACTCTTTTCTGCATGGCGGGAAAAGAATGTTGTGGCAGAGTTCAGTAGCAGTGGATCTGGAGCCTTTGGCTTTTCACCACTAGAGATGACCATTCTGCCACTTGGACATTAGAGTAGATAATGGGCTGTTCTTGTACAGTACAGGGCAAGCCTGATTCAACAGGAGCAACAGACTTGGTGCATGTTCATAGGTCTTCAGATTTTCATAATCTCCACCTGGCACAATTAAGCATCATTCAATTTGTAAGCCACTAGCCTGATTTGCTGTACTACCTTCCCCTCCGCTGTAGGGTTTGCCTCCTATGTTTACCAGAGGCTGTATTCTGCCTGGAACTCTGTGATCATGAAAGATTTGTTTGGAGGACTGTTTCTATCATATCAAAATGGGAGTGGTTCCACATCTTAAAAATCAAAACGTGGGGGTTTTGTGACTGCTGTTGTCACTGTTGATTGCACCCTCCTCTGAGATTCTGTGTGACAACAGGGTATTACTATTATTACTTTTTTTGTTGCTCTTCTCTTCCATGTAGTATGCTATTCACAACCTTCTTCCATTACCATCTCTAGGGACATTATGCACTACATCCAGTAATAACCAATATTCATAAAGCACTAGTTTCTGGCATTCGTCCTGAAGCTGAATGGCACCTCTCCTCACGAGACCCTTTGATTTTAGTAAGATTGATGAATAAGTACCTTGATGAATAAGGTACAATTCCCTAGGAAAAACAGCACTTCTCTAGCTTCCCTTGAAGGTGCCCTTATCTCTACAGTGAAAACATCAGACCCAGAGACATTTCAGAATACTTTTTTAGTAACAACATTAAAAGAAAAAAATCCTTTTGACTCTAAGAATTTTCTTGCAAATCCCCTTCTACTGCAAAACATCTGGACTGTAGTGTGCTGCCTTCCCTCATGCTGCTTCCACTTGTGCCTCAAGGTTTTCAAAGCACAGATATTTCTATTATGTTATCACTTTTAAGCCACGCAGTGATGGAATTTTTTCCATATGAGTTAACCCTATATTAAATACATGTATGAAAGCAGAATTTTGTCTAGACCCCAGCTGATCGTGTCTGTCACAGCAGCAGGAACAAACATGCTTGTTAAATGAAGAAATTATTTTTAAGTGCAACCTGTGGCTTTTACGGCATACACGTTTCTCAAGTCCCTCCATTTGAAAACCAGGTCTGTGTCACACAGCTGGAAACAAGACCGCGCTGGTGCAGAGGGGCACTGCATGGGGGCAACCCCAACCCGTGGGAGCCACTGGGGCTGACATCACCAGATCACGACGAGATCCAGTTGCCCTCTCAGCCCAGCTGTGACTCATGGTTGAGCACCAGGAAGACAGAGCCATCTCTGCTTGTCAGTCACTGTCGTAACTCTCCTCTCCCAACCCTGCTGTCCTATAGCCTTTGAAATATTTTGGTGTGCGGCTCACAGGTGGGATCACTGGGTCACCCTTGCATAAACAGCTACACAAAATCTACTGCTTTGTCAGAGAGGCAACTCAGCAGATTCAACAAAACGGTTTTGTAACACAAATTAGTAATAAAACCTACGCAGAAGCAAACTGGTGGACTTGGCAAAGCCATTGTATTCAACGGAGCAAGTGAAGCTGACGTCTTTGGTCACGTTGAGCCATAGTTTGCCAGTGACGTTGTACAGGCTGAGGCTGGACTCGGACACCCAGCTGGCATTCCACACCACGGACTTGTTGTTGAGAAATCCAGAGATTTTGGGTCTGGGGAAACCTCCATGAGAAGAACATCTTACCACCATCTCAGTTGATTCACACGATTTAGCGGATACTTCTGTTGTGACGTTCGGCTTACTGAAGTCAGCTGAAGTAAGAAAGATTTAGTTACCATTCTGTCAGATGACAGTGAGGGCTGCAGTCCCCATCACCCATGGTGAAAGCAAAGACTCCCTGACAGGGCATTTTTCATCTATCATAATCTGCTTGGCCTTTCTTGTGCCTTAGCGCACTTTCTTAGTGCGTTTTCCCCACTGCCTTGACTGGACATGGCCTTGGCCTTTGCTGCTTCTCCTCCCTGGGCAGCACGCAGACTTCATGACCCCACCTCTCCAACACTGCCATTTCTCTGTACATACAGCAGTTTGTGGAACAACAGAAAGAAATCATAAAACAGGTAGGAAAAGTCCAGGGCTGAATAAAAATCCGTATTACAGGCAATGGTAGACAATTTCCTTTTCCCTCCCGCATTAGTCCCATCCCAGCCAGAAGTTCACAGAGGGTCCATCTCTGCTGGGAAAGGAGGTGAGTCACATGTTGGTCTCTCAGCCGGGATGGCCAGCAAGAGACTGAATTCCATTTTCTGCATGAAAGCCCCTCGAGAAGGCCCAGCTGAGAGCAAGACCAAGTCATACTAGTTATTGCAAAAATGTGTAGCAATACACAGGTCTTCTCAGACCATGTTCTCAATGGACTTTTTTCTCATTGCCAAAGACAATTTTCAGAGGTTTCCCACCCACACAGCTTGTTCCATGCCCTCCTGCCCGGTCAGATGTATTGCTGTGTTTGTGAGGCTGCATGGTGTAATGGATGAGAGGACTAATATGAGAGGAGAAGGAGAAGAAAGGTGGTGTCCTTTTCAGCCTGCTTCCCTTTGCCAATCTGGTTCACTGTGTTACTGTAAGCAGTTGCATTGGTACAACTGAGGATGCCCACATGTTGCAATGAACAGCCCAGGGTGACGAGAAGGAGACAAGGGGTGGCAAAGGAACTATTTAAGGCAACTTTCCTACTGGAAAAATCTCTGTGGGACCACATCTTTAGCAAGAGAGGCACCAGTCAGCAACACAAACTCAGAGCATGGCTTCCTGGTGGGTGGAAGTGACACCACCACCACCACCACCACCACTGCTGCCAAAGGGACCAAATTCTCCCTCCCATACCTTCCAGCTGTAGGTCCATGGCCCGCACACCCCCTCAGGTGCGAGCCCCAGCCATGGCAAGGCCAGGCAGAGACCTGCAGCCGGTTGCTCAACTCACTGCAAAATGACCCTTTTTGGAGCAGCTAAGGTTTTGCCTGGGACTGCTCCCTGCCTGACTCGCCATTTGGCCACGTGCCTGCTGGGGTCTGCACAAGGCAGATGGCCCTGCAATCCTACCGTGTCTCCCACAGCTCCTGCTGATCATGAACCCCTGGTCTAGACTACTCAGGAACTAGTAACTAGTGAAAGAAACTTGCTCAACATTGCATGGCTGGCCAGTGGCAGACAAGGAGACACCCATATTTCTTTCCAGGCCTACTATTTGTTGAGCAATACGGCACAGACATCCAGTTTGGAAAGTCCTTTCAAACATCCCAGCCGGCTTCACCAAGGCATCCTGATCAGTCACCAGGGAGTAACACCTTTCCACCTCTCAGGTTAGCCTGGTTCCAGCCGGGGTGAGGGGAGCTTTCCCTTTCCTGATCCCCAGAATAACTGATCCCACTTTACCAAGGGAGCAGACGTCTACCACAATTACTACAACAGGCCTGCTAAGATAGCCGGGGGATTTCTGGAAGGAAACAAACTGGAGTATTTGCGGGGAGCAAAAGAGATCCATTGTTTCGCATTTTTCATGCAGTTAAGTCCTCAGCCCTCACGGCTAGAGAGGGTGCTGACAGTGCACTTCCCTTTTTTCATGACAGTTCCCAGAAAGATCACTAAATTTGTCTCCTCGCACATATGCCCACCATGCCCTCAAACAAGCAGGCAATGGCCAAACCTCAGGAGCTTGTTTTTTTCTTTCTGATGAACCTCAATCCAGATGGGGAACGCTCACTCACTGACTTCACTGGAAGATTCCTGGAACTCTCTGGTGCTAAAGGTATTCAAATGTATGTATATATTTATATATGTTACCCATATCTCTGCCTTTGGTTGAAACCAACTGCAACAAAAACAGTGCTGGAAATGGAAAATAATGTCAACGGAACTTTTTGTAGCCTCAGAGAAAAGATTCAGATTCATTTTGAGCAAAAGAACTTGGGTTGTTTCTTTAAGGTAAAAAGCCTCAAATCTCCAGATGAGTTCAGCCTTCCGTTGTGGAGCTGCAGGGGGGCTGGCAAGCTGGCCAGCCCCCCATAGAGCCTGGGCTCCCAGGGCTTGGCTGCAGGGCTGGGATGCTGCCGTGGCCACAGAGAAGCAATGCCACCCCATTTTTTTGACTTGGATGATTCCCATGCACCAAGGGCTTGGGCTCTGCTTTGCCCAAAAGACAGCAAGGGGCAGAGGTGGCCTAGGGCACCCACCAGCTGTGGTACCTGGGGAGGGGTACTGGGATGGGTCCCTTCCCAAGAGGGAGGCATCAAGGGGAGGACGTTGGGCTGGTGATGGGAAAGGCAAATTTTCTGTACCTGGCATAGCTTTGTAAAGGTAAGGAGGGAGGCTGCTAGAATGGAAATAGTTAACACACCTTCCAGCATTGTTTTAGGCTTCCTGATGAAAGACTATCATCTGCTACACTATGACTAAAGCTTGGAGGAGTGTTCTTTACCCCCAGAGGTTGGCACCAGAAAGCCTTGGGTGTCAGGAGACAATCCACCTACCTGTGACAAAGAGGGTGACAGGTTCATCACAGACAACAAATGAGTTCTGCAAAGTTCTGAGTTGCTGAACTACACACTGGTAAGAGCCATTGTCCAGGATTTCCACAGGGGAGATCCACAGGGTGAGGTTCCTGATGTCCATCTCTGTCCGGTTCTCGTACTGCTTGTGCTTGAAGATCATCTCCCCCTGTGCATAGGCAAGCACTACCTTCGTAGTGTTCTTCTGCCAGTAGACCCGGTAATTGTGTAGGCTTTCCGAGCTGGGAATTTCATGACAACAAGGCAGACCAACTTTTTCCCCCACTTTGGTTTTGACTACTTTCTTCTCCAGTGCATAGCCTGTAGGTGAGGGGGCAAAAAAAAGTTAGTGAGACAGTGGTATAGCCTTCTGCCAGGACCTGCTGCACAGAGCTCACCAATTTTGGCTCTGTCTGCACCCACGAATGTACATCATCACCGACCGAGCTGTTTACAACTTCAGCTCTGCACTGAGGGGAGGCCTCCCTTGGTATTGCCTTTTCTGTGATGCTCCAGTCCTACTTAGGGTCCTGAGCTAGTGGGCACATGATGATTTCTGCCTGGATCTCTGAAAGCAAAGGCAGGAGAATTATCTGCCTGAACAGAAATTTTGCTGTCCCTTTCAAAAAAACCCCACACCTCAGAGCAAAGCATTGCCATTGTCCATGTAAAAGGATGGAAACATACATGCTCAAACTGCTACCTCCTCTGCTCTCCCCTTTCAGAGATCAGTGTTTGGAAAGTCTGCGTCACTTTCCAGTGGGCTCCCTACATGCCAAACAGGGCCACAGTGGACTATTAGTTTAGGGGCTTGGGGGGTTTTGGGAAAAAAACTCAAAACACTCATGATCCCAGAAGCTAGAAGCAACTCTACACCGATAAACAAAGGTTGCGGCCATACTGTCATCAGCCTCCTAGTATTAGCAAAGGAACAATTTTGCCTCGTCTAGATAAAACAAATTTATATTTGCAAAGGCCTGTGGGCCTCCCTTGGGATTGTTTGCAAACCAGCACAGGCATTCCCCAACTCCTGCCCAGCAGCTGTGTCGGTGCCATACCTAGCATACAGGCATGTGCCTCCAATAACAAGCTGAGGTCCTTGCAGGGGGAAGTTAGCTGCAACTTTGACCAGGTTAGCAGTAATCCCCCTGCTTCGCACTACAACCTCCACGCACTCCGCTCCCATGATCAGCCCTGCTTTCCCACTCTCCTTCCTCTTTCTGTGGGAAGGTGCTCGCAGGAGCCAGGACCTGACACGCAAGGGAGCAGCCTAGCGAGGAGCTCCTGCTGTTACTGGAAGAGTGACCCAGTACTGAGAGCGGTCCTGTGCTGCACCAAGGCCAGGGCAGACGGTTGGGCTTTTGCCTGAGTTTGTGCAGACTTCAGGATGATGCTTATCCCTGCGCACTCTGTTTTGTTAATCCAGGAGGTCAGGTTCCTTTAAGTTTGCACCGCTTGCCTCGGCCTCACTACCTTAGCATCCATCTCTAGTAGTGGAAGGGGGATACCAATCTGTTGCACTCCACTGACTGAGAGTAGAAAAACAAGGAAATAGCCAGCCTCAAGACAGAGAAGATTGAAATTCCTTCATCCTTCCCTGCAGAACAGATCTCAGTAAACATGTCTGAGAAAAAGCTGGGAAGTCCTGACCAGGCGGTGTGTCACTGATGGAGAGAGTCCAGCATCACCCATCGGTGGAGGTGAGACCCCGCGTGCAAAGTCTGTGCCTGAAGTGTGAACTGAATGCTTGGTCAAAGCTGAGCCTAAGAACGGCCACCCGCCCCCAGAAAGGTCTGGCTGATGCTGGCTCACACATTATTGTCACAGCCAATGCCTAACCCCAGCTGTGCGCAGGCACAGAGCGCAGTGCTCAGGGCGTGACCGGAGTGCTGGGACATTTCAGGTTCAGCTGAAGTATCCCAAACAGCCACAAGCTCGTTGCCCCCCCTCCCGGGCTCGTTTGCTCCGCGGTGACTCACAGAGACCCTTGGGGCGCCGTCGCACAGCCGGCAGCAAGACCCCTGGGGCACGCTGGCCTGTGCCCAGCCGCACACCCTGAGGAGGAGCTTTGCAATCCTCCAGCTGCCGGTGCTGGAGGGAGACAAGCAGATGCTCAGCCAGTGCTCTGGCACAGCTGGATCTTGGGGCAGCATCGGGGGCCGCTGGCTGAAGTCAAGCCCAGACAGAGAGCCTGGGACAGAATGTGAAGTAAGTTTTCACCCCGCTCCTCTGTGGCACGCTTACCCCTCTCCCACTTGCACGCTTTACATTAAATCTGTAGGAAACATGCTGAAAAATACTGGGGATGTCCTGGCAACACTATGGAATGTTCTACTATTAATTAGAGAAAATAGAATACGTAATTAAATAAACAACTTCTCGTTTAACTGTTTTCCCTCCACTCAGCCACTTCACTGGTCTTCCAAAGGGAAATATTCAGACTCATTTTTTTTCCCCTCACTACCTGTACTTCCCCTTATAATGCATCGCAGACTCTGAGCAACCAGACTGGGGCAGACCAGGAGCCCACTCAGCCTGGTGACCTGTGTCAGCCAGCAACCGACAGCAAAATGGTAGAAAAGCTAGTTCTTTCACACCACACGGGATAAGAACTGCCATACCCTGCCAACACTTGTCAGCCAGGAATTTAGGGATTTCTTGACATCAGCTGTTTAATTGCTACTGCTAGACCTACCCTTCAGGAAGAGTTCTTGCCCTTTCAGGAATGCATGTATATTTTTGGCTTCCACAACATCCTGTGACGATGGGTTGCACAGTTTGATTACATGCTGTGTGAAAAAGCATTTCCTTCTGTTCACCTTAAAAGCAGCCCACTTTAGGCTGTGATTCTTGAAGTTCCTCCTTCTGCGTGTCTGCATGTATTTGTCTGTGTGTGTTTTTTCCCTTGGTCACATCTTCGCTTGTTCTCACAGTTCAGCTCTTAGTATTGCTGGAGAGACTCACAAGAGCAGCCAGTCAAACTTTGGGATTGTGGAGCCTGATAAAGACAATTTTCCATTTTCTTTTGCAGCAATAGGGGAAGAGTAGGCGTACAGTAAATGTCAGGGTGACATCGCATCATGAGTTGCATGAGGTTCTCCAAGCCTTGCCCCTAGGAGTCTCCTTTGCAACCAAAAGGAGAACAAAAACCTTCTCGGCAGTACATGTGCAGGGGCTGGAAACTCCTGCTGATGTCACATCTACCCTTAAAAGGCTCTGCACCCTTGAAACTGCAACCTGAATGCTGCAAGCCTGAAGGAACCAAAGTCCACGAAGAGTCATTCAGCCCCACAAAAGTCCCCTTTCACTTTAAAGGTGAACTGCAAAGCAAAAATGAAAATTCAGTTCTGTCCCATCCCATTTCTGTGCTGAATGCTCTCTGTAACCAGGCTGTGGGGGAGATATCCACTGTGGAAATAATTTTTAATGACTTTTCTAGAAAAAAAAAAGATCTCTCTTCTCCCCACCACCCCTGAAGCCCACCCGCTCCCTTGCTGTGCATGCACCTTGCTCTGTCACCGGAAGCCTGTGGCGTGTGGCAACACTGAACTGATAAAAGGGCTGACTTTCTGTTCCCTGGACAGAAAAACTTGTTTCATTCTACGCCTGTGTTGCAGATGCCCCATATGGCAGGGCTAATTAGAACAGAAAGGTGAGTGTATTGGAAAACTGTCCTTTCTTGTTTGCTCTGAGAGTCAGCAAGCAGGAGAGCTGTTGAGCCCATAACCCCATTTCCTTCACTCCTTGCCCAAGCCCTGTTTCAGAAATTCCCTGGCCGTAGACAGCTTGGTTATCCTGACCACACATACAGTCAGGCAGTATGGGAGAGCAGATTGCCTCTGGGACAGAAGTCGTCCAGAGACATTTGACTGTAAAAGGCTGTAAAAGACCATGCAACACTCTAGAGAAGCAGCGTTGAACTGTTGGCAACCTTCAGATAATTCCTGTTGAACAGAAGCCCCAAAGCCGTTCTCTTTCCCCTTTGTTCCCTATTTCCTTGACCTTCCAAACTGCTTTGCCTTTTTTTGTCTTACCTTGCATTATATCACTTTGCACACAACACACAAAGCAACACACATGAAGGGAAAGCTCCTTCTTGGTGGGCCTGGAGTCCTCTGCTCCTGTGTAAGCAGCAGGTGAAACAGTGGATCTGGACATTTTATCCCTGACAGTCCTGCAAAAAGCTCTGAGGGGCAAACTGTTGGTGGCCCTCCAAAACCGGAAGGGCGAAACCAGCCTTGTGTAAGGTTCCCTATTTATTTTTGCAACAGCAGCTGGTCTCTCTATTCTTAAATTATTGGCATCGCTGAGTGCCTATGACCATGCACCTGGGACCCGTGCTCTGTTGGGGCACTGACACCTTTCTTGCCCTCCACCTGTGTGTGGGCTGGAAAAAGGGACTTGGGGCAGCCCTGGGAGGAGGTGCACACCATGTCACGGTGAGGCACGGGCACTTCTGGTAACTGAGGAAAACACATCTCGTGGAGCTGTGGCTTTCTCCTGGCAGCCATCCCCTGGGGTCAGCATGGGAATCACACCCAACAGTCCCCGGGTAATTTTGCCACTTAGGCCCCGCATTTTCTGTGAACGGCACATTCACTCCAAGCTTGCAGGGTTTATCCTTTGAGGACAATGCAGTATTTTATGGGGATTTCTGATCAAGACAGATAATCAGTTGAAAAATTGAGAAATTTTGAAAAGCTGAGTCTTTAAAGGGCTAGACAGTCCCCCTTGGTCTTGTCTTTTCCCTAGGTGAATTTACCAGTGAGGAATCAAATTCTCCCAAAGCTTCCCAAGGAGTTACAATTCAGCAAACATCCTGTGCTACACTGGAATATGTAAAGAAATGCTTTGTATTTAAATTAGCGTTGTGACAGACTCCTGTGAATGCACTGATCACAGAAAAGACCCCATTAGATGCCCAGATAACTTCTATATGGAGACACTGTGACATTTCAGCAGCACACAAAAACACTGCCTTCCTCTGCGTTTTGTTGTAAAGACCCTGTGCAGTGAGAAAGATGGAACGAAACAGAGAAAAGTGGGTTCTGGCAGGCCCTGCTGGCCGTCCTCTTTAAGGAGACTGTGACTGCATGTTAACCCCGACACAAGTGCCTGGCAAGCCTCCTAGGCAACTTCCCCCCAGACTTCACTTCAGCAAGTAGAGGCATGAAAAGGGAGGTCTTGGCACACAGAGAAGGAAGGAGCCGCCCTTTCCCCTTGCACAACCCAAAGCCCAACCTTCCGGTCGCCAGCTACAGGCCTGCTGCTACCCTTCAGCTGCGTTATGCATCCCTGGAAAAGCAAAGCAGCTGCAAACC